GATTTTGTTCTTCTTGAGGAGGGGTGGAATGATGCGCGGGGAAGCACAGAGGATATCCTCTGCTCGTAAAAATCGTTCTGACTCACCTACGTGTGGTGTAAAACGACAACGAGAAAGGCATTAAGTAACATACCGGGTGGTAATTGTTAGCGAACTTGTCAGATTGCCTTCTGTCCCCCTTCCAAATTGTCACTCGGCTGGAACCAAGAGCTCATGGCTGACGTGAAGTTGTGGATATTCGGTCGTCACGTGTTGTAGTCAGCTCAATTGCTTGTGGACCGTCGCGTGGCGGTTCGTACACTTGAGGACTTCTTTCTGAAATATATAGTATTCTGGGCCCCTACGGGCTCTGCGGTAAGGTGGCGTTGTCTTCCTTTTTCGGGCGGAGGTGCTGCTTCACCAGCTGCAAAACGACGTAGGGCTTCCTTTGCTTGCCTGTTTTGCCGCATTTCCACGTAGGGCAGTCAAGGGGCAGCCGGTCCCGCCGTGGAGGATAGTCTCGCACTTCTGGCAGAGGGCGATTCCGCGAGGGACAGCTCCTCTGTTCCGGGCACCTTCTGCTACTCCAGTCTGCGTGAGCAGGGAGTTCACTTTCTTTTCCGTGAGCTTGAGGTGCAGCCAGTCGTTTTCATATCCATCGCGGAGGGTGACATAACGTTGGCATAGGCTAGGAGCCGGAATGGGCATTAGAGCCGTAATGATGCGCCACTTCTTCATCATAGTATTACGAGTGACCGTGGTGGTCGTTCCATTCTGGCGGACGTACAGCTGAAGTGAGATGTGTCAAGGAAGGGCTTTGTAATACTTGATTCCCTTGCGGTTGAGTGTGGCCATAAATCCCTCGACTCCAGTTGTCGGCAGGCTCAGGAGGTAGTCGTCCTGCGAGGATGGTGCGTTGTGCAATCGATGACCAGCAAGTGTTGTTCCTCCACTCTTCCACATCTCGCATGAGTTCCCGAAAGGTTCTCGTCTTCTTGCAGCTGAGACTGAGTTCTGGAAGGCTGCTGCACACTTGAGATCGGGGGCACCTCCTTCGTCGACAGTTTGGCGACTGAACGCGGCGAAAGAGAGAATCTTCTTGATTTCGCTGGTTACATCGTCGCGTTGGCACTCGTCTGTGTCTACCTTGTAGGGACAAACATCTGCGAGTGTGTTGCCCAATGTTTGGCCGTTCCGACTGTGTCCTCTGGGCCCAAACCTTTCGCGGGAGAACTGCCGTGCCCTCCTTGATGGGGATGTTTAGATCGCATCCTTGTCCTTGGTGACGGGTCCTTTCGGCGTGCATGGTGGGTGGGCCGGCTGGATTGCGTACCCCTCGTCTATTGGCGGGCTCAGGGATCTTCCCATCGCCGGATCTCGTCGGGGGCAGGGGCAGTTGTCAGCTGTATGGGCGAGTTCGGCATCACCCACTTCCAGCTTCGGCAGCCGTGCTGCGGGCACAGTCAAGAATCCTATCGCTGGTGAATGGCTGCATCTTGCGGTGTTCGTTGACCACTCCGTTGCTCATTGACCCCGTTCACATACCCTGTACCAAAAGCGCTGGTTGGACTGGATGGTACTCCAGGGAGAAGCTGGGTGTCGGCGGAGCCGTACCGTCGCCTGTCCCCGGGTGCCTATCTCGAGTCCTTCCTGGGAGCCTTGGCGCAGGGCTTGTTTCAAACGCTCGCTAACCTCTGCTTCACTGCTTGTATTTGGCGTGCCTCAGCTGCCTTCGCTCTTGTGCTCACGGCTGCCTCATGTTCACGTAGGAGTTCTGGCGGCCATCTCAGTGGCTCGTTCTTGCTATATAGTTTGCTGCCGCGAGCCGCTTTTCTTCTTGGGCGACTTTCCTCCTTAGCTCGTTCTGGGCGCCAGCTCCGAGATCTTCGGGCTCTCTCTCCTCGTTCAGCGAGCCTTCGGGTGTTTTCTTTCGGGCAGCGATCTTCTGATGACCCGGGATGGGGTGCTGAAAGATCCGCCGGTACCGCTCGAGAAGGTCCCGGCGAGGCCGGGGGCTTCTTCGCCTTGAAGGAGCTCGACCTCCACGTCCCTTGGTGTTTCCACTCGAAAAAGCTCGGTTGTGCGTCAGGCGATCCCATCGTTCACGTTTCCACCGTGATCCCGGGAGAGCGTTCGGCGGGTCCTTCATGGGCCGGCTTCGTCCTCAGTCGCTCTTTGGCTGAAGAGCGGCCGTTTCGTTGGGGGGACAAGGCGGTACTAGCGATTCGTCAAAGTATTTGTCATTGCGTCTAAGCACCCTTTCAAAGGATACCCCACATGGTTGGCACGAGTAGCTCCTCGGTGACCGGCTCGGTTACATCGATACCACGGTCACTGAAACAAACATGACGTACCTTTCATGACAAATCGGGCTCGACAAAACATATCCTTGCACACCACTCGGCCGGTGTGACAAAACGCCGCCATCTCCGGCACCGGACCCTAAGGAAGTCACACTGTTGTGACCAGCCGCTGGCGTCATCAAACTCTAAGTCCATGCCTACTTTATCTTCAGAGTAAAAGTTTGCGAGAGGGAGGGGTCACTGCGGGCAAGCAATACTTTTTCAGGTTGCGGACGCTCACACTAATACCCCCAGTCAAAAAGGAAAATTGGTGTCGGGCGGCTGCAACTCTGGTCAGAAAAAGTGAACCTGATTTGTAGCCGCCCCGATTAGTAGTCCTTCTAGCTAGTCATCAACACCACATAGGCACACCACCTGTGCACCCGACACTTCGGTCCACCACCTCATCCTTGGATGAGTGGCTCTCCCGGATTCCTGTCCGTCAGTCTCCCTTGCTTATGGTCGGCTCCCTGTTAACTCATACTCTCCGTTCTGTAGAATCTCTTCATTCCCTGTCTGGGAAGGTGGGCGTATAGTAAACTGGAATGCAATGCAATACAATTCAATTCAATTCAATCCGATAATCCAATAGAAAAATTGCTTCGAAAAACAAATATTCGGTTTTTCACAGACACTTTTACAAATAAACGCTATCAAATGCAATGCAGGGCTATGGGCAAGTTTGCTCATCCCCCTGCAGCCAATTTGGTATGCGCATTACATGTACTAGTACTGCTTGCTGCAGCAGATGCTTTTCAGGTTTCAGCAACATGGCTCCTGACAAATTGTCACCGTGATGGCAAAATGATCTCTTGCGGTCCATTCCGTTCCTCCCTAACGCAAAAACGTGGAGTCGAGGGAGTGACTCAGTCTGCGATCGCACAGCATGTCCGAAGTCCGAAAGCGCAATACATAGGTTCTGGTCATGGATCCTCATGAGAATCTAAGTGATTTATTTGACTGGCCAAGCTTTGAGTATTGCATAGTAATAAGTGAGAGCGACATTTAAGTCATCGAAGAAAGCTTCTGCTCCATGAAGGTTCTGGGTCGCCACTTGCGATGCTCCAAAATAGGTTCCAAACTCCAAAACACTTTCAACAATACCGCATAGCTCCCGTTTATACTCCACAAATCGGCTCAATATCAACATCTCAACTCAGCTCCCAACTCTCATCACAAATTACTCCACAACCAAACCAAACTCACTAATAAGAGCTCTAATAAGACCCCAACAAACAACATGGCTCCAAAACTTTTCAAGAAACTGATGAAGAAGGTCAAGGGATCCTCGTCTTCCAAGGCAGTCGAACAAGCCACATTCGGATCCAACAGCATCAATGGGAATGTTTCCACCGAGAAGACTGCATCGCTGTTGGAAGCTATTCAAAAGAAGATGAGGGATGAGGAACAAATGTGGCCTGGGCATGGTGGATCCACAAGAGATATGCTTCCTTCCAGATAAATGGCTGGAAGGAGGAATATACGACGGGTGCAAAGATTGCACTTCATGTCTTGACCCGATCCAGCGGCTTGATACCGGTATGATGCGATGGACCGCGACAATAGGCTTGCTCTGCTCGAGGAGACATCTGGTGTTCGGCTCAGTTTTCTGTTGAACTGTACATTGTTTTGATCCTCTACTGTACATTTATTTCTGTGAAAAGAAAGAGAGGCTCAACATTCGACACAATTTTGCCCAAAACAGGCTGGATGGCTGGATAATCATATATAAAATCCACTACCAATATGAGATATTGCCTTGTCTAGATGTATCCTTCCCAGCATGTTTACAGGTCAAACATTGCTATCCAGAGTCTGAATCTTATTAGATGCCGCAACGAAGAGGCAGCCACAATTGCAAGCAACGCACACGCAAGGATGAGAGAGCATTTTTTTTAAAAAAGAACGATGGGCAGCCACCCTTGCAGGATTTCAAAATAAGCTCACTGACCTGCTTGGAATGCGGCGTTACCTACATGTACATCGTACCGTAGGACTGCAACATCTTTTGCATCAAATACATGTAGTGCTACCGGTAGCTAGTAAGCCCCACAGGCAGCAGGAGTACGTACCGATCGATTGTTGTTAAGTAATGGAGTTCTCAAAGAAGGTCTTTCAAAACAAAAGACTTCTCTCTCATCACAGGGCAGGAGCTTTTAGGCAGGTTTGAAGATTACGTAAAACCGCCACTAGCTAGTCTACTAACTTGTTTCTGGGCTTCTCATCTTCTCGTCACTCCAGCAGCTGCCAGTTCTTTGCTTGACTTCGTGACCTTTCACAAGCAAATCCAATTCTATTCTGCTGCTTCCGCTAGCCTATTACAACGTCCGTAAACCCACTCTGGTTTCACAACTCGCGAACATTGAGTTTCCATTTTACGTTTTGGTTTCTACAGTTTTAAGTTTCTCAAATGAGTGAAATTAGTTTCACCCCTGAGAAACCACCAACCTTTAGAAACCACCCTGTTTTCACTACGGTTTTAACATTTTTCGGTGAAATTAATTTCACACCGTTAAAACCATCAAAATCAATGGAGTGGCGTTTTCGGACCCTCATGCAAAACTTTTTCACGGTTTGCCCCCAAGCTTGAACAAGTAGTACGGCAGAGGTTCACTCCATAAATCGACAGGACAAGCACAGGAGGAGACTAAAATGAATAGAGGAAGTGATAATGAGGAGATGGTCGTCTTGGGCGATGGAGACGAGAAAGGTCCTCCTGAAGCTGGGGAAGAACAGCGCCGGGTCGTAATGTTGGATCAAAGTCAAATCGAGGCTCTCCTGGACCTTGAGGAGGACGAGCATGGTTTCGACCAAGGCAATCCAAAGACCGCTTTGGATGGCAAACAACGATGTGCCACTTCTATAGTATGTCCTGATGGCGTGACAAGGCCAACAGGAGGGAAGGCAGTGACGTTGACTCTCGAGCAGGTGGAAGCATTGATCCGGGCTGTCAGCCATGGTTGTCACGGAGAAAACGGCGACCGAGAGACGGCTAAGAATGACTCGGTCTCCACTGTGAAAACAGACCACGGTGCTGCGAAAATAACTCACACGCAGGTTGAAGCGTTGGTCTGCATTGGCAGTCAGGTCATGGGTAGAGACAGATATCATCGCGAACTAGACCCCAAGGGACTAGATACAGGAGAGGAGGTTGATCAAGGCAATCAAGAGGCTCATTTGGGAGCGGGTGGTGCTTCTTCTGCAACTCCTCAAGATGGTGCGACAGCACAATTGAAAGATGCACTTACTTCCCAGCAGATTAAAGCGTTGGTAAGGGCTGCCCTGGACGGAGACAAGAAAGCCTTGCAGCACGTTTTAAAAGTTGCCGTGGGTGTTGAGGCGGAAGAAGCACCTCCGGTTGAACCAACGCTGTTGCAGCGAGGCAATCCTAGGCAATCTTCGATGCCGGGGGCATTCGCTATTGAACGTTCCAATTCAGGATGGACTGGTGAAAGTGAAACTGATCTAAACAGTTCTCAAAGCTCCTCAGATTCCCTCGATGAGGAGGCTGGGAACTCACCTGATCTCTTTGAAGCTGTACTAGTCCCAGAAGAGGATGCCGAGACCATGGGCTCGTCAGAAGACATCCCCCAAGCCAGCATTGTCCGAAAGCCGTGGTATACAACTCGGATTGGCCTATACGCCTTTGCTGGCCATGTGTTCTTGATTGCGGCTGCTCTCATGGCCGGTTTCGTCTGCCTCGATGGGAGATGCAAACCAGCTCACCACAATTACAGCGTCGGTAGGAATCCGTTGATCCGCGGTTCAATTACAGGTACACCCGTTCCTGTCGGAACGGCCAGCCCCACAGCTCTGCCAATGCCCGTCCCTTCTAACGTTTCACTGGTGCCTGGTGAGATGCGTATGCTGAGGATAGAAGGTCTGTTCGACCTTCAGACCTTTCCAGAATGGCCTTCCAAAATATTGAATTTCACTATGGAACTCATCAACAACAAGACGGACGGTTGGCATGATGATGTCCTTCCAGATACCGTCCTCCAAGGAAGCATGCATGACTCGGCCTGTGATGCTGATATTGCCGTAGGCGCCTACCTGAATGTTTCGAAGACAGTGGACGATCCTTTTGCTATCGTGGGCTGCCGGTGTTCCGGAGCTACCATGGCGGTGGCAAGGCTGAGCGGAATCGAAAATATTCCAATACTGTCCCCTTCGGCTTCGTCTGCGAAGCTGAGCAGCACCATCGGTTATCCAACCTTCTCGAGAATGATGGCTGCGGACAACGAGGCCGGCCTTGTGGGAGCAACGGTATCTCTCATTCGAGCCTTTGGATGGAACCGCATCTCAATCATCAACACAGATACTCAATATGCAAGCGATCACTCGATACAATTGAGTAACGCGTGGAGAGGGGAACATGGAGGCGATGATCCATTCGTTGGTGAAATTGCGTTTACGGATACAATAGAGCTGAATTCTAGCAGCGGCCAAGTGGACCAGTCTTCCGTGCGAAGAGTGCTCAGTTTCGTTCCTACAGACAAATCAAAGGTCAACTCGAGAGTGATAGTTCTAATTGCTCACCACGACCATGCCTTTGCCATCTTGAAGACTGCTACTGAAATGAAATTCCAGCCTGACACAATCTGGATTGGTGCTTCTGCATGGATTGAAGGAAAGTCAGACACGTCGTGGATGCCCGAAGTACCTGGTTACATCGGTCTAACGCCCCATCGGAATTTCGAGTCGCCAGTCTACAAGGATTTTCTTGCGAGACTGAGGCAGTACGAAGCGGAACAACCCTTACAGCAAACAGAAAGCCTCGATCATAGGGCAGAATTACTTGTTGATGGAATTATAACGCTTGCCAAAGCATTCACAGCCGTACCTGCAGATCAACGCAGGAATGGGGTGCACGTATCGAAGGAACTCAGGCGAGTCAGCTTCGATGGAGTGAGCGGCCCCGTTGCGTTCCATGAGAATGGAGACTTTTTGAATCCCAGTTTCACTGTCAAGACACTCTCAAGCAGGAGTACACAGTGGACGGACGTGGGCTTGGTAACCCCCAATTCCGCGTTTGTCGATTTTAGCAAGATCTGCTACGCACAAGTTGGCTGCGTGTCTTCAATTCCAGGCGATGCGTATGATTTGGCTCCTCCATTGGCGTGGGTCTGGGTAGTCATTGGATTGCTCTTGGTTTTGTCGATGCTAAGCTTTCTGCAGATGACCATGCGAATCCGAGATCAGAAGGCTCTCGTCCACCAGGTTTAGTTGGGATACTAGCTAGCTAGAGAAAAATTCACCGATAACTTTGTGCACCCGTACGGTAGAGTCGAGTGAGTCGAGTCAAGAGAGTGGAGCTGGAGCCTCTGGGTTACTCAGCATTTTGTCTATTTAAGGCTATTGTATCCGATTACAGAGTTGCCTAAATGTTCTGTGCTCCTTTGTAAAAGTGGCTTATGTCTCACAATGTCTACGAATGTCTCACAATGTCTCACAATGTCTACTGATGTCTCACAATGTCTCACAATGTCTCACAATGTCTACCAATGTCTACCAATGTCTACCAATGTCTACACAGTATAGTAAAACAGTACAAAAATGTCTCACTTTGTCTACCAATGTCTCACAATGTCTCACTTTGTCTACTAATGTCTACCAATGTATCACTTTGTCTCCTAATGTCTTCAAAAGTCGCACAATGTCTACTTTGTCTACTTGTGTCTACTAAAGGTGTGTAGACATTTACATAAGGATAGAAGGATCACTTAATCGCCAAAACACTGTACCCAAACAGACAAAATGCCGAGTAACCCTGGAACTGGTGAAGCAGCATGCTCTTGACATGCCAAAAGCTCCAAAGTGTACCGTATCTTTTGTAGGGAAAGGGTTACTGGATTCCATTTTCAAACCCTTGGAACAGAGCAAAATACCTGTAGTACCGGGTACCGTACCGGTATGGAAACGTTATATTCTGCGTATCTTCGCCTGTGCCGTAAGTATTGGTACCTGGGGTAAATTTGGATATCATGACATTTAGGACCACTGGGGAGCCGGGAACAGAACCGACAACACCATGGTACGGTACCACCGCTATACCGGTACCCATACCTCGACTCTCAGCGGCTTCACATGAAGAAACCAAATCCTTTCCCACAGGGCTATCATTCTTTTTGTCATTCAAGATGAATACCCAAGCTGTCGAAAATACTGATGCCAGTAATGCTGTTGCTGGAAAACGAAAGAAGTACAGTAAAATCTCCAAAGAGTTTTTTGAGGATTTCTATTGCAAGTGGACACAAGCCAGGATAGTTGATCCTGCCGTACCCTTCACAAGATTCTGTGAGGAAAAAGGTGTACAGGAAAGCTGCAGTGCACTCAGGCAGAGAGTTACCAGCAGGAAGCAAAAGGAAGCGATTGAGTTATTATCGCAAACCAGGAACAAACAGCCTGGACGCAGAAAGACGACAGAGCCATTTCATGGGCATCGAGGGCTAGAGGGAGAGGGAGGATGGTGGATCACTCTGGCTGAAGCCGAGCAAAGGGCCAAAGAACGATGGTGGTTGCTACCCAATCTACAAGGCCGTCAGGTTCCAACCCAACAGTACTCCACATGCAAGGATGCTCCTGCCAATCGACCCATATGGATGTTTCACAATGGCGACATGTATTTGGGAGAGTGGGACGAGCAGACAAAAATGGAAAACGGATTTGGAATCACCTTTTATTTTTCACCAATCAAGTACAAAGGATTGATTCATATTGGTTATCGGAAGAAGGGATTTTGCCATGGCAAGGGTGATGCTTTCTGGTTGGAATCTGCTCCATCTTGGAGAAAGAATTATTTCCCAGCGTCGCCGATTAAACGCCCTAGTGGTGGTGGTGGATTGCCCTTTTGCTACTCTGGACACTATAAGAATGGGCTCCAATGGGACAAGCACGCAGTGGTACGTTTGAAGGATGGAACCACTCGGTTAGGTCCTTGGGAAGGTGGATCACCAGTGGGAACGTTTTTTTCGCATGCCGGAGTTGCTGCCGGAGGAGGCACCTTTGTGAATGCCGCTCACGAAGTCGACAGCCAGGATTCTTCTTCGGAAGATGGTCTCTGCGAAGAGAGAGCAAAAAGTGTACAACAAGATGATCTTGGTAGCGACGAAGATGACGCTTTGATACATCTTGAAACAGGAACTTCTTGCTCAAACAATACAGATTCAGACTCCGAGGAGAGTGCAAAGCCGCCCCCTCGAAAGCCGGGACGCCCGAAGAAACACAAAACACCTGTGGCAGGTTTAGACTCTGAGGAGAAAGCAACGCCGCCCCCTCGAAAGCGGGGACGCCCAAGAAAACACAAGAAACCTGAAGCATGTTCCGACTCCGAGGAGAGCGCAAAGAAACCCGAGGCTCGTCGACAACGGAGAAAGCGTTGGCGGCCAAGGAAACATTCTACCACCGCGATTGGGCAGGCAGAAGAAGAACCAGCAGCACAACATCAAGATGATGCCAGCACAACGAACTCAGTTGCAAGTAGAATCGACTCTGTACCGGTACCGGTATTGTTCGAAAGGGACCTTGTGGCACGGGTAGCGGCATCTACGGCAACAGCGCAGATGCCGAATGTCGCCGCCGTCAAACAGGAGCCAATTGGTGAATTCGAGCTTTCTTCCGACTCGGAAGCGGACAAGGATGAACACCCCTTGTCATCAGGCACAGTCAAGCAAGCTGGCGAGGCGGAACAGGTTGATGGTTCCAATGAGACAGTGCGATTGAGGCAGATTCGCGAATGGATTGACCAAGATGTCATTGGCAACAACCCCAGTCCTGACACTATTAGCGCATATGCCCGGCAACTTTTCGATGAAGGCTTTGAATCTGTGGAGATGATCAAGGCAGATCTCACAGAGAAGGATGTCAACAACTACGAATGGATCAAACCAAACCACAAGCGGAAATTTATATGTCAGATTCAAAGAGGATGGATCTAATTTTAAAATTAGAGGATCAAGATGGTTGTCTGGGCCCGTTTTTCGGTTTTTGAATGGTTCATGAATTGGTGCTTATCATGGTGAATGACAGACATACATTGGGCAAGAACCTTGGGAAGAAGGCCGCCAATGTAGATTCGTGATGCAAATAGCAATATATACTTTCTTTGCACGACAATAGTACGCTTTATCGTACGGTAGTCTCGAAGACTACCCGGCCTACTAGAAATAAAGACCAGAAAGTATCTGTGATTTGGGCACTAGGACTTGCACAAGGACTCTTGCTTGTTTTCCCGATCTACGGTTTGCTTGCTAGTTTGCTTGCTAGTTTGCTTGCTACCGGTAGTTGCTGGCTGAGAACAGCACGAGATACACGCGAGGATCCAATAGTCAGCAAGCAAAAGTCGAAATCAAATCCTGGTTCTCCTCCGGATCCCAGTTCCTTGCTGGGAGGCTTCAACTGGTCGTCCTGTTGCTACCCAGGTCTTGATGCATGGTTGTCTCTTTGTCTTGTACCACTGGAAGAGAAGCTAGATGGATGCATCCATCCCCGGATTACCAAGAACTATCGGTATTACAACGTGCGTGACTGTCGGGCTACCCGGTATCCGCCGTTAATACCGTATACGAGTACATCGTACTCTCGCCTCCAAAAATCCTTCACAGCTTCGCCGGCGACATCATGGTGGAGTTCTTTCCTAACGTGACGATAAAGATTTAGGCGATCCGATGGGGGAACAGTTCGCCTGTAACTTCACTGGTCGGAATTGGTGAGGGTCCGGATGTCCCACCATGATCGAGCGCTTCACCGACACAGCGACAACAGGAGCTCGTCGACACCGCATCAGCTACACGACCAGTACCTAGCTAGCTAGTTTGTTGTAGCTCTACTCTACTAACCATCGCCTCACACCAAACGCCTCACACCAAACGCCTCACACCAGAAGAGACAAATCAGAGCAGCCAGCTACAAGATAGAACCAGAGCTGAAGCAGTGTGTGACTATTCAAACGGCAGAAGTGAAAAGCTAGCTCTCTTGTCTTGGAAGCACCGTATTGGAGCATGTTGGCCATGAACTTTTCCGCCTCCTCTATGCAGCAACAACCACCACCACAGCAGCAAGCACAAGCCCAGCAACAGCCATCGATTCCCCCACCACCGACTCTCTTCTATTCGACATCCACAGGAAGTGCCCCATCAACGATGACTGCATTTTCGTTTGCGGCGCAGGGTCTACAGCAAGGATCCTTCCATCAAACGACGACGACTACTACTACGCCGAGCAGCAGCATGATGATGACGCAGCCAATGGGGATTGGGAAGCGGGGACGAGCACGATCCTACGAGCCACAGCTACAACTACAACAACAACAGCTGATTGGCGGTTTTTGCAACGGCATCATGCCACAAGCACCGCCAGCAGTCATGGCTCCTCCACCCACACCTCCCGACGACGCCTCTGATACGACGCATGAGTCCTCTTCGAAAAAGCGACGACCGGCCAACTATGTAGCTCCTCGCACCGTCCCTACGACCTTTACCAGCGCGACGGCTCCCGGCCATGTCCGACGAAATCTCTCCTTTAGTCGGATCGACCCCTATGTTTCCTACGCGCAGACTCCCAGTCTTCCGGGTATGACCAATAACAACAATGGCAATGAAAAAATGGACATGGATGCCAGCGCCATGAGTCAGAGCAATGATGGACAATCCCGTGTCCGAAGCATGAGCTTATGATCTATCTTTATAATAATATACTGGCAGGCGGGACAAAAGAATTATAAACAACGACACTGCATCTCGTGGATGGGATGGATGGTGGCGCAGTCGCATCTGTCTGTGAAGCTAAATTGTCATTTTTCTTTTTCAGGACGCTAAAAGGGCTGCATCAGCAATATCTTTTGCTACTGAGCTAGCTAGCGAAGGAGAGATTGAATACGACGGGTTGTGTTTTTCTTGGATGGCGGAAATTGGAAGGGCACGGATGTTTATTTAGCTTGGCTTGAAGGAGTACTCTTCTGGATAGTCTAGAACGGGGATTTTTTTCAGAGGAAGTGGTCTTAAAAAGATGGTGCAGCAGTACAGTAAATTTAGAAATTCAAATCTACATAGCTGCCCTGCTTTGGTGCGAAGGAAAGAATTGCTTCGGCTCATCTCAAAAAGCGCATGGTGAATTCATACTACTACGTTTTGTCGTTTCGAGGGCGCGAAATTGGAACCCATTATGATGAAGGGGTGCCCTGCATGCCAACCTGTTGCTCGTAATTGGCTGACAAAGGCAACAGGATCAGAGCAAAAGAATGACATCCCGCTGGTGCATTTGAAAATACGTACACGGCTGGCCACAGCCATCTCTGATGAGGCTGTGGCCGGCCGCAGCCCACCTTGGTATTCACAAGTAACTCAAGCAGTAATGGAGGGAACCAATGCGCGGTGCCTGCACGGTACCGGTACGACTGTACGCAATGAGCCAATGCGAGTGACCGGTATCTCAACTCGACTCTGCTGAACGACGCCTCTGAAGGGCTGACCCAGCGAATGATTGACGCGTTCCAGATTCAAAGGACATGAAGCTAGGTTCATGTGGTTTGAAATTTCAAAATACATGTAGTATTGCCAAATCTCTGGCTGTGTCACCGCCCATGGTTCTTTGGTTCCGGTACGATCTACTACAACGGTAGCAGAACTGGCTGTCCTGGCTGGTAGCTAGCAAGTGCATGCTCTGGCTGGAGCTCTCTCGTTCGCCACCGTATATGTTGCAACATGCACTTGAACCATCGTCACAGGGAGTGAAACACAGAACTCGAACGGGTGTACCGGTACGGTTACCGAGGCACAGTTAAAGCCACTGGGTGCTGTGGATGCAGATTTGGGGCAGACCAACGCCACTCTACGTGTGCACTTCTTCCTCTCTGATCTTACTTCTGTACCGGCAGAAATCAGAGCCAGTTCCGCGAAGAATAAAATAGCAACTCCCATCTCACTGGCTCCTCGAGGCTCCTCTCAATGGCTCATCTGAATGGCTACACGGCTTTGAACCAACAGACAGATGCCAACACTCGTCGAGCAGCTCGTCGAGCTCGTTCGGCTCGTTGGTTTCTGTTGGTTTGCTTAGCGGAACACTTTTAAACTTGACTCCTGCAACCACCGTTTTAACGTTGAAGTACGACTGATTAATGCCTGCTTTTCATTCCCATTTACCATTCTACTTAGAGCACTGGGTCATGAGGGCAAGTCGCCCACATTTTTCGGAGTGGGCCCAAAAAGACCACCATCAAGAGCTTCATCAAGACACCCACAACAAAGGAGGCGGACGACACCACAAATTTGAGACAGTAATCCAACTTCACTTCTTGCCAACGAAGAGAAATAGACAAAGAATCGAATCCTTGCGATGGTTGTCAGCGTCGATAGTCCACCAGAGACACCAAATTGCCCATTAAACCATTTGCTGAGATCTGTTTGTTCCCCAATCACTCCATGCTGTCCTGGATCTGGAGGAGCCATGGCGAATGATACCTCGGGTTTCTCTCCCGATTCATTTCCATTCTCGCCCATGACACCAACTAGGAAGAAAGCAGCGTACGCAGTAACTCCATTGACCTATGACAATTACGGCAGTGTGACTCTACCATCTAGTCGTAACATGCAACTACACAAATCTCCCGACAATATCAAACTTCGATTGCCAGGAACTTCCACCTCTACAAAGAGACTACCCCGCCCAATTGCATTGTTTCAGACGCCACCGAGAATGTTGAAAGCTCTACGAAATCCCACCATCACACCCGAACCAGACACATTCCTGGAGAGCCCTCCTCGCCGAGAGGCATCCAAATCAAAAAAGACCTGGATCTCCTCATTTTTTGAGAATGCGGAATATTGTGACGGATGCTCTTGCATGGACGGAAGTGCTACAACGGCAGCAGCCGACAACAGGGCACCATGGTCTGTGCGATTGACAGAGGATTTGTTGCAGCAACATGACCAAACTTCGCCCTTGAGGCAGACACCGTCCATGGTGCCTCATTTTGCAGGAGACAAGCTTGCCAAGACGGTGATTCGAAAGAAAACGCAGCATGAACTCGCCAAGGAACGTAGGCAACGTGCCAAGATGGAACTAAGTCATGTGCAATCGTCGGTTGAGGAACACCGCTACAACCAGATTGAAACAGTCTTGCAACCACTCAAGAAGAAGAAACATAACAAGCAACGAGAATGGCTGGAAACTGAACGAGAAAAGGCATTATCAGCGAAATGGCAGCGCAAAAAGAGAGAGCAGAAGGATCGGATGCGGACGGAGCAGCTACGTTGGTCAGAGCTGGAACGCCAACGCAACTTGAGGGCGGTCGAGATCCGTGGCGAACAACGCACCAGGCAGCCACCAGTAGCGGAAGAAATGATCTCAACCAACCCCATGACTAAGGTCAAGCGATGGTCTAGTAGCCCTCAAATTGTCTCTCCAGAAACCACCCCCAACACTCAGCGGAGCAGTTCCAAGAATCTGATTCTGATCTGAGGAATGACGTGAATCGGAAGAAAAAGAAAGGAATCATTGTGACGACTGTGTGATTGCATGTCTGAGGAAGCAATTGTGTTACGGTATCTTTGGTATACAAAGGGATAATCCATAGTAATTTGTATCACATACTAGCTAGTTGCTGGTGGCACTTTGTTGCGTGCGGTATCGCGGGAGCAGCTTTGACCGCGGAACTTTGATAGCACATCGTGGGAGCACTTTTTGAGTGCCTACTAGCTGGATTATGCAGTATGCCCTACCAAGCCAAATCTGTTCAAAGCAGCCTCGACGCCGACTGAACGAACCTTCTTTTTGGTACTCCTTTGTACGGTACCAACAGCTCGTTGCCTGCAGCTCCTGGGCTATCACTTTTTACTCGAAAGACGGGCCGAATTGACCCAGCTCCACCTGCCTGTTGGCTCCAATGGTCCATTTCCATTTCCATTCCAACCCCCACCCCTGAACCATTTCTGAGCCAACTCCTGGACAAAACCACCACACTCCAATCCCCACCCCGAGCTAGTCCAATTACAGCCCCCCTTGTGGACCAACAACAGGACCTTGACTGCACCTGGCCTACGGTAGCCCTGGTTCCATGCGGACCTGACTCGTCATACCTCTATTGGTGGAGCTCGAGCTCGAGCAAATATACATTGCAAGCTAGCTACGTTCCGACGAAACTCCACAAGAACGCATGAGCAGTTGCTCCCTTCAGTCTCCGTCATGCTTTGTTCGTCTTCGAGACGGCGGCTGGAAACGCACATGGACGAGAGGGTGCCTACCGGTACCATACCGGACCCACTGGATCCCAGAAGTGTTGTTAAACTATGAATGGCATGCCAAACAAACGAGTTGTTGCTGGTTTAGTTTACCACCAATGACGCTCTAGTGTAACTGCCCCAGCAAGGTACATGCTATCAATTCAATCCTCGTTAGCAAGGACAGCTACATCCGCACAACCTATCGGAACAATCATACTCCAAAACACAATTGTTTGTACCAAACTTGGACTGGTATGTGCACGACGCGTTCTGCTGAAATTTGCAAAAGGCGGGTGGAATGGTTCCGACAATCCCAGAGCTGCCGCTCACGTCAAAGTGTCCCAACAAGGTCAAAGACGCCATCTCGGGTGGAATGGTTCCCTCTAGATTTGTCAAATTGGACATCTCCAGTTCTCGCACATTGGACAACAACGCCAGCTCCGAGGGAATGGTCCCCGAAACCAGATTGTTTCCCATTTGCAATTCGTAGAGCGATGGCCACCAGCCAATGGCCATCGGACCTGTGAATTGATTATGTTGGAGCCACAACTGTTGGAGCGATGGACCCAGCATTGTGGGGAGTGGACCACCGACGTGATTGTGGTGGATCCACAGCCTCGTCAAGGCTGTCAACAATCCCAACTCACTCGGGAGGTTGCCCGACAAGGTGCTTTCTTGCAAGAAAAGTTTTACCAGGTTGGATAAACGGCCCACTTGGCTAGGGACGGAACCTGTGAGGAGGGACGGACCCAGAGCCAAATTTCGCATGCCTGTCCAGAGACCAAGTTCTGTTGGAAGGGTTCCAGTCAAATCGTTGGCATACAATTCCAAGCGCGCCAATTGCGTCAACAACCCCAATTCGCTGTAGATGGGCCCTGTCAGAACATTGTTGTTGAGTCGAAGTGATGTGAGTTGCGTCATGAATTGCAGCTGTGTGGGAATGGTTCCCGAGAGATAGTGATTGGCGGCCACATCGAGGGATACCAAACTGGTCATTTCGAAGAGTTCCAATGGCAACAAGACATCCAGAGGCATTTGCAAATCCATATATGTAAACATGATTTGGGAGAGGGACGTCAGGAGGGCAATCTCGGGAGGAATCCTCGGTAGAAGTCCTGCCAGTGAAAAGAATTGAAGTGTCAACGAAGTGAATTGTCCTTGATGGTCGCATGGTTCTTGTATGGCAAAGTCCGGTTTTGGATTATATACACCTTTGTAAAAGGTTCCAAATCCACTGGAGAACCAAAAGCATTCGTCAAGTGCATCGTCCATCCATCGTTCTTGAACATAAGAGGGCCAATTTTCTCCCGCAAAGGAAAAGTAGAACGTGGCCATGGCAAAGAGCTGTTTTTTCCTCCACTCTGGTAGGTTGGTAATGTTTTGATGATGCTGGAGCCAATTCCAGGCATTCCATTGGGGTGTACTAAAATTTTGTAGATTGATTTGTGTGTTGGGCGGCAAAGAACTGTAAAGCTCATCCAGACTGGCCGTAGGAGCCGCCGAAGGAACCAGGGAGGGAAAATTGGTGGAAGGACTGGGTGTCCTCACTCTGGATGCCTTGTTTGGTTGTTGCTGTCGCTTGTTTGACACAATCACTCCCATAATAATGGCTACTCCAACTAGTAGGGAACCCAGGATGAGTCCAATAAGACAGATTCTCTTGCGCCGTTCTTGTTTAGAATGTAAATCTTGTTGTGACTGTTTGCGAGGATCAAGATGCACTGGACTAGCATGCATCAAATGTGCCGTATCCTCTTCCGATACGGGATTGGCTTGTACCAAGTGCTGGTTATAGGATTGATTTTGTGGTTGTGTGGCATGAATACCAGTACTATTGGCATTCTGCAAGGCAGATTGGCTGTTGGATAGTTGTGGTTGCTGATCGGGAAAGGTAGCTTCACTAACAGCTCCCACCAGAGCCAAATCGAGATCGTCATTTCTGCGCAAGGAGGACCCCAGTGCTGCTCGGTATGCCCCTGGAGAAGGAAGCTGTTGGCCTAAGCGAATACCACGAGTCAGTGCAGGTTGGTTCACTAGTGCTGCCACCTCTCCATTGGCGGTACGTCTCAGATGGGGCATTGGCATTGGTTCTAGGCCATCAAAAGCCAGTTGTTCCAAACCTGGAGATGAAAATTCAGCTTTGTCTTTGCAGTCTGCTTCTGCTGCTACCTGTGTCTTGGCAGTCTGAAGTATAGCTTGAGCTTCCAGGTCAGTGTCAGCTGCTTCAATGGAAACAGTAGTATCTGTAGTGGTACTAGTAGTGAAAGCACTTGCACTGGTAGCATCCCCGGTCGCCGTAACGTTGGCACCCATCTTGCTTTCGACAGAATTCTGCTTGTTTGCTAATTCTGCAACGGAACCACTATGTCGATGGGGAGATGAGACAGTCTCTTGGATGCAGTTGCTCCGGCTGTCTGTAATGCCACTATTAATACCACTGGCAGTGGGTTTGGTATCTGCAGCTTCCATCGCTTCTGTTTGTTGGTTGACTGTCACAGTATGGTCTTCTTCTCCACAACCGATCCTCAGATCCTCAGTTTTGCCAGTACACTGTAGTACTGACACGAAGTTACCGGTACGTGTTTCCAAAGCCAATAATTATTGTTGTCTCGTCTGGTGTTTGGTGAAAACCGGTGGCATGGTGGCATCGGTACCAGGTACCAGTGCACTGGTGTTGGTATTTGCAATTTGCAATACTGTAATACTGTACCTCTCAAACCAGGTAAGGCGCAGGTACATGTATCAACTAATAAATAAATGTACCGGTGAGAGATCGCAGCCGTTTTGCCTAATTCCTGAGAGAACCGCCTTCTTAAAGTACATAAAGGTAAACCGAGACTGGGGGGTATTTCAGTTTTTAAGTTTGGTTTACTTAGAGATCAAGTCTTGAGGTCTCCCCAGCTCTCCAGGTCTGTTCCCTTAGAGATCTAGCAGCGGTATACGTCAGTACGTCAGTTCTGATCTCTTTAAATCTGAACAATTCCTGTATGCAAAACCTCCAAGTTGCCATCTGGGTGGCACAACCAATTTACGATGGCCAATTTACAAACAGCTGCACTCCTCATCACTCATAGTTAAGATATGTGTTTTTAAAAGATGCTGTGTCAGATAGATCATTCGATTCGATTCGATTCATCATTCTGAATCCAATCAAAGGCCGTCTCTTGTTCAGTCGGTATTGCTGGCTTGGGTGTAATGAGTTTCAGGTGAACTTCGTTAGAGACATCTTTTTTTAAATATCAACGGAGGAGTGTAGTCTAGCTAATGTCCAAGACATGGCAATTTTGCCAATTGTGAGGTCAATCGGTACTGCAGGCTTACCGGTAGGAGAAACGAGTGCAACGACAGCTCGACGACAGCCGAAAGAACTCTGTTACCGCAATGACTTCCTTCTCTGTCAGAGTGACGTTTCTAACCTTACATTAACCCTTTCCAGGTCAGCAACATACGTCATGGATCAGTGGCATTTTGAAGACCAACAATGACGCTTCTCTTGGAATCTTGGGGGTCCACGTAGGATCCTACGTAAGCCCGCTACCAAGGATCCATTGGTTGTGCTGCTCTGTTGCTGCTGCCGTTGGCCACAATTCGAACTCTTTTTGGTCCTCGTCACAGTCAGTCATTTAATTTTTCCTCCCACGTCTTTTTGAGAAATTATAGTATCTCACCATGAGCCATTCTACCAAGCCCGTCGGAGCCGTTCTGCTGGCCCCTTCCCCTGCTGGCACCAAGTATGACTTCATGTACTACTTGAAGGGAGCTGCCGCCGGTGGTATCTGTTGTTCCATCACCCATGGAGCCCTTACTCCCGTCGATGTCGTCAAGACCCGTGTTCAGCTTGACTCCGCCAAGGTGCGTTGGGTGTGTGTTTGTGTGGCTGACTGAATGATGGACCCAAACAATTATCACGAGGCAATGGCTGAATCAATCAATCCTTGAGCTTGGCTTGGCTTGGCTGTTGGAGAGGAACCCTTGTGTGGCTTTTGAAATTCAGAAACCAAGAATCTCACCTTCCTTTCCCCGTGCTTTCTCGTTATATTCTTATCTCAAATTGCAACTGCTGTTGACAATGAAAAAATCTGTTTTTCCTCCTTTCTATAAACAGTACAATAAAGGTTTGGTTGGAGGATTCCGTACCATCATTGCCGAGGAAGGAGCCATGGCTTTGACGACTGGTTTGGGAGCCACTGCTGCTGGATACTTTATTCAGGGATGGTTCAAGTTTGGCGGAGTGGAATTTTTCAAGATTAACGCTGCCACACGAATGGGACCTGAAAAGGCCTGGGAGAACAAAACATCTATTTATTTGGCATCTGCCGCCTGTGCAGAGTTCATTGCTGATTTGTTCTTGTGTCCTTTGGAAGCTGTGCGTATCCGTTCCGTCTCTGATCCCGAGTTTTGCGACGGTTTGGCCGATGGTTTCTCAAAAATGGCCAAGGCCGAAGGTATCGGCGGTTTCTACGCTGGTCTTCTCCCCATTTTGGCCAAGCAAATTCCATACACTTGCGCCAAGTTTGTGGTGCAAGGATCTGCTGCTGATTCCATCTATGCTTCCATGGGAAAGAAGCCCTCAGAGTGCGGAAGTGGAACCAACCTTTCTATTTCTCTCTTGAGTGGTGTCATTGCTGGAGTGGCATCTGCCATCATTTCTCACCCTGCCGATACACTCTTGTCCAAGGTCAACAAGGCTGGTGCTGGTGGTGATGGACCAATGATGACCCGTCTCGCAAACATTGCCAAAGAAATTGGCTTCTACAAGCTCTGTACGGTCGGATTGGCCCCTCGTTGTGTGATGATTGGTACTCTCACTGCCGGACAATTCGGTATCTTCGACACTGTCATGGGTGCCTTGGGAGCTTCCAAATTCCACTTTGTAAACCCCAACGAAGCGTAGGAGGATTAAGCTCCAGTGACGTTTCGCTTTATAAAACAGACTGTATGAAGATTTCTTTTTGTGTTTAAAATTTGAGGAAGAGTTGTCTAAAAATATTATGCAATGCATTCACCATCCCACCCACTGAATAAAATTATCATCATCTTCGTTGCATCATTTATTTATTTGATCGAGATTCTTACTTGTCGCAAGGGATTCGCTCTTTGACAATGATGGTACCTAATAAGCTTGTTTAGCATACCGTACCCAAACTCTAGCTGCATCTTGTATCTTTTGTGTTTAGCATCAACAGCATTGCGATTCGCGGTACTGTAGTCGGGTCGGCCTCCAGACCTTCCATCGGTTGGAACATCACGAAGTTCCGTTGCGATGAAACACTCTCATGCATTTGTTGCTTGTTCTAATAATTGTTCACCTGGTGCCTCACTTGCTTCTTACCAGGCATGTGCATGGGATTGACAGCAAATTTTGTAGGTTGCTATCTTCTTTTGAATAGCTTCAGGTCGCAACGAGCTCTTGAGTCTATGTACCAGTACTGACTACAAGGCCGGTAGCTGACGCCCAACCAACCTGATCAGCAAAAAACTTGAGGGCAAACAAACAATTCTCGGACCTCGGGAAAGAAGTGACTTCTTCTTTGCCATAGCTCAGCCGGCTTTTGTTGTCACATGGAAGCTTCGACCAAGAGAGCTCTCCTCTCTCGGACCCATACTGGTTCATGCAGATCATTGCAGATGGATTGAATGTCAAACTCTTTCCTTCATCGGAACTGCCTACAGGAAAGGAAGCAAAAGAAGCGAAGACAAGTAGAGGCAACCGTTATCCATAGAAGTAACAAAAGTTTGCTAGGGCGCATCCTTTGAGAGTTTCTCGTTTCGTCAATACGAGTGACAGTCACGTTTGTAATTTAAATAAGCACCATGTCTTCCATTTCCCAAGATGCCCAAGAGGCCCAAGCCAAAGTGGATGAGTATACACAGTTTTTAGACAGGGTATTAAGGCCCGAATTACAAGAAGCCAAAAGACAAGTGGAAGAAATCGAGCACGAAATCAAGGAATATCAAGCACTGAAGCAGGCACTGGGAGAAGTGCCGTCGTTGCCACCACCCAATGCAGTCGATTTGGGATTTCAAACAATCTACTGTCCGGCACAATATGCCAAAGATCCCAAAGACCAAGTGTTTGTAGATTTGGGGCTTGGGTTTCACGTGGAAATGAATGCCAAAGAAGCGAGGGAGTTCATTGACAAGCGCGTCATCTTTCTGCAGGAGAATCGTCTGAACCAAAGACAGAAACGCCTCACAACCGTGCAAGATCACATCCAATCGTCTCTCAATGTACTGGAGCAATTGGAAATGGTTCAAAAGCAACTACAGAAGTGATGGTTGTAAAATCCTCGACCGAAAAAAAGCACAAGCTATGCAAGCTAGACTAGCTACTGGTACTTCGTAGGATTGGAGAAGCGTCTCATGATTTTGGTTTACTAGACACGTCTACACATCTATCTGTGGACCAGTGCAAAAAATTACTTATTCACATACTGGTACATGTAATCAGCCGTTCTTCGAAGGGGATCAAAAGCATGTTGGATACTAGCTAGAAGGGCGCTTTTAGCCACAATTAGAAGGGCCAGAGACCTCAGCATAGCTTTATCTCAAGGCTACGAGTTGCGTACTGGGATTGTCTTAGCTTTTGGTACTGTATCCACAACCTGGCTGCCCCGTACGGTAGCCACGGAGTTTACTGATTTGATCCCATAAAGCAGTCACACCCTTTGCGGCGCGTTTGGCTGGTGAGCTGGTTGGGAACACCTTGATTGATCTCTCCGGGTCGTTGTGTTGCCTGGAAAGACCAGTTGTTGTCTGAATCGAGTCCGTTTCTATAGGACTTTGCTTTTTTGTGGTATCCACAACTTGCAGGTCTCTCCCTCGATTGCTTGTCTTCTCAACAGCCACAGGCCGACCACACCACATGTAGGCGACATTGAGAAACAGTCAAGAAGCATAACCAAGCGCGTGAAACAGGCAAATTAAGTGACTGGCGGTGTACGCGCATCCAGATTCCAAACTAATTGTACTATCAACTACATATATGTAACATAACAAGTACAACAGATGCCAAAGGACTCATTCTATGCTAGTAGATAGACTCTTGCTTAACCTTCCTCAGGGATAGCTCCCTTCTCGCTCACGTAGATACCATCCAAAAACTTACGTAAATCCTTCTTGCGGATGTTGGTGGCTTGTTGAATTTTGGCAGCACAGATACTGACCTTGGTAATATCAATTCCAGAGAGCTCGATTTGGTCCTTGACATCGGCTGTTCGCACGTAGTTGACTCCTTCCAAGAGCTTGATCTTTCGAACACGACGTTCACCCAAAAAGTTACGGATTTCGACAGTGGATCCCACAGTGGTGACATTGATGGGGAAATGGCTGTAGACAAAACGCATCTTGTAGCAGAATCCACGCTGAACACCCACGAACATGTTCTCAATGTGGCTGCAGACAGTTCGAACGCAGGCCAGTTGCTTTCTTGCGGCAAACCACAAATCGAGTCTGACAACCTTCTTGGTGGCACCAGTTTCCTCATCGGGCTCGGTTTCGCCAAGCATCAAGTCCATGTCAATGTGCTTGAAGTCTCTTGTCAGAGTTCCCTTCTTGCCCGTCACCTTGACGACGCGAGACTTGATCTCGACTTCCACTGTCACAAAGAAACAACAAGAAAAGGAGAGGGAACGGTGAGCCATCGCAAACAGAGACTTGAGCTGATACTACTGGCAACAGACTCCACACTCACCGCCATCGGGGATCTCAATTGAACGCGTTGCTAGAAGGGTCTTCATGGTGCCCACTGAAACTCAATCAACGTTGTGTTGGCCGTCGAGGGTGCTTGCTTGTTGTCGAAGCTTGATGAAGGAAGAGACCGACCATGAGTTTTCAAGCGTCTTCATGTAGCCTTCAGTACAAAATCTGCGGTGCCGAGGTTACCGCCATACTAAACTTTGAAAGATAGTTCCCGAACGTGATCGATTATAAGCTCTAACCCTTTTGGTTTTCTCTACGACTCAGGACTCGACTCTGACTCGACTCGACTCATCGCTCGCTTTCACTCAGGCTATCAAACCCCCCACTCCAAGCCCATCGTGGAGGGAATGCACTTTGACCACACTCCTCTTGAGGAATTTTTTTTAAAAGAGTTGTGCTGGAAGAAACAACAAATTCAACTCTTCCCAGCTGTAGAAGACACCTAAGCACGTTGTTGCGAAAGGTAAGACTCTGTTGCTGCATTGCTATAGAGAACCAGCACGTCAAAGTAATCCCCAGTGAAAAAGTCTAATTTCTTTTTCAATGTACATATATTTTCCTTTGTGCACGCACTGTTGGTGCAATGAGAGAATGGCACTAAAACTTCCCAGCAGGATTGCTATCTTATGCACAATCGAGGACTGCTGGGACCAAGCAATGAACTTCTACCAGGATAGGACTGATGGACTTTTGCAACTAGAACACACAGAGTGCTGGGTTGTTTGCTTTCCTTGCTGTTGACAAGAACAATGAGAGGATCTTTCAGACCCAAGACAATGCAGCCAAATAGCTAGCTAGATAAGGTATCTAGCCACAGATAAAGAAGGGCGGACACGGCAAGGGGGGGGGGGGCTGTCACTTGATTCGACTCGACTCTTGCAGACAGGCGAAGAGTCGATTGAATCATTCAGTTTAATCATAAGTTGTGCTCGTTGTTCGTGTCCGGCTGTGCCCGCTAAAGATCCCGGCACATTTAACATGCACAGCGAGATATTTCAAAAAATTTGCTCGATGCTACGGTACCGGTACACAACAAGTGTAGCTACAGGACCATGGTCCTACCGGTACTACTGTAAGCGGTCGTGTGGTGTCTGACTGAGTCACTCTATCGGTACCGGTGTACCGGTATGCGGTCAAACGATATCAAAAAGTGACTGAACTGAAGATTTTGCACTATGGCCTGACTGGGACTGGCCACGTAAGCTCAGATCTGGAGTATTCGGGCAGTGCACGACAGCAAAAACACAAAAAGAACCCTCCTGACAACGCAACTACTTCGGAGAGTATCGCGTGTATGTAGCATCTCGATCAAACAAAGTAGACTACGGAGCATCCGATCTAGCTAGCTAGTCTAGCTAGACTCTACTACTAGCTAGCCAGCTGTCGTAGTGGAAAGAGCCAAATACATACATGAACATTGTAATGGATCCGGACGAAGGACTACACTGTATCGCAGGGAGTCGACGCCCGTCCTGCTGGGAACAGCCACCAGGACACGGAAGACAAAAAATTCTGTGCTGATTCCGTAGAAGAGCTACCACCATTAGCTAGCAGTTGTTGAGATGTAAAGTTAGATTATGGTTGTTTCTATGCTATTCTGTCATTTCAAGTCTTGTTCCACCAGCCTGCCTGGCTCTTATTCTGCCAATGAACCTGTCGTCCTCCCAGGACTGGGTTGGGTCCCACTCATGAATGTGAGTCCCTAGTGTGATGGCATTCCAGTCACAACACCCCCCATGACTTCCCGCTGGTCACTTGCTGGTGCGTCATTTACACTAGCGATAGCTTCGCTCTCACATTCTTTAATCAGAGATGGTCGGCGAGCCATGACGGAACCTCGAACAGTTTCAAAATGAGCGACATCCTTCATCTCCTTGGTGAAGATGTCGGCGGCGTTGAGTTTACCAGGAATATGCCCTATCTTCACTAGTCCACGTCGTTGTGCGTCTCGACAGGCTACTTCTCGTATGTTGAGATGGCGCAGCTTCTTAGTGATGGCCTCAGAGGTGGTCCATTGCACGCTTCCTTTATTGTCGTTGAATAGCAGAGTAGTCGGTTTGGCGAGATGACTCGCTCCTAGGTCGCCAAAGATGTTGCGGAGACCTTCGATCATCTTGCAGCCTTCGTCCATTCCTTTAATTTCGGCCTCACAGGAGCTCCTACTTGTTTTCTTCTCGCGACACGCGGTCCAGTCCAGTGGACCCCCCATGTAGACGACAATGGCACCAAGAATTGACCGGACTTCTTCCTCACGGCGCATTTCTCCTTCTTGTGGTGTGGAAGCATCTTGCGGTCCCCAATTGCTGTCAGTGTAACCGTCAATTCGGTCAAAGCACCCAATGGTAGGCCCTCCATCGACTGGCCAAGACGCTTCGCCGAACATGCACCGGGCAGGGTCGAATTCATCTCCGGAGTTGGGCTTGGGTTGTGTGTACTGCACGCCCCAGTCGCCAGTGCCTTTGAGGTATTTCAGGACGTGCTTTGCCGCTTCCACGTGCCCTTCCGATGGATTCTTCAAGTGACTGGACAGAAGACTGGTGCGGTCGTGATATCCAGTCTCGTGTTTTGGCTGAGCCAGTTGAGACCTCCTACCAACGATGAGTATTCCTTCGCCAATTCCTTCTTTTGCGATGGTTCCAGACCGTCATGTGGCACTCTGTCAATTGGTAGCCGGATCGGTATGGTGTTCTTACTGCGTTGGCGTCGAGCATGCCGTGTTGGTCCAGGAGCTTGTGGATATATCCTTCCTGAGACAAATGCACTGTGAGTCTCCCATCTGGCGTCTGTCCCCATTGATAGTAGACTCCAAGGTACCACGTGAGGTCTCCCATAAAGTCAATGTGGAGTTGACTGCCGAGCTCTTTCTCGAACCATGCTTCAGTTGCGTCGTCTGTTCCCCAGTAGAGGCAGTCATCTACATATGATCCAAAGTAAATTGTCCCTCCACTTGGCGACTTTCCAACGAACAATGCTGGATCATTTGGACACTTTTCCAGTCCCATACCCTCCAGGACTTTCCGGAAGGTCTGGTACCAGTGTCGAGGGCTTCTTCTGAGCCCATAAAGGGTTTTGTTGAGTCGCCAGTAATCCCCTGCTCTCGAGAATGGACAGCCCTTGGGTGGCATTACAACAACAATCTCGTCGTCGGGAAGATATGGGTGGCAGAAGGCATTCTTGGCGTCGCATTGCTTTGTTTTGCGGCCTTGTGAGATGCCTAGAGCGACCAGAGCCCTTTGGCTATGTCTCATGATGACGGGCGCATACAGGTCATTCTTGTCCCAGATTCGCTCTTCTTCATTTCCCATGACGACGGTCCGTGATTTAGCTCTGACTGGTTGTCCATCCGAGTCCGTCTTGATGGTAAGAATATTCATGGTTGGAATTGGTTTGACTCCCAGTCTCTTAAGTTCTGTTTCATCAATCACGGTGTAGGTGTTCAGTCCTTTGATACCGTCATACTCTTCTCGGTAGGAGTCCAGCCAGATTGGATAGTCAGGGTCGGAAGGATTTTGCAGAGCTTTCCAAAGAAATTGTGGGTTCCCCCCTTTCAGTCCCTTGGCTGAAACATGATTGGCCGTGGCTGTAGGGCTGGATGTGGGTGGATCAGTGTCCCAACTGACTTCGAGGAGCCCTTCGAGGAGATAATGACGCCAATACACATCTAAGTCAGGAATGGGAACCTCAGTGATTACGCGCCCCCCACGATCACGTTGTCGGAAGCACCAAGTGTAGCTGTCGGTGTGCTCCAGGTAGCCCCGAAGCATTTGACCTTCATGGCGAAAACGGACGTGGCAATTTTGCACAAGCCAGTCAGGTCTGATGGGCCGTGTGGGATCACTGTCGGTTGGATCGGTGAGGAGCTCCAGCCCGGCGAGGGCGTCATCTGGCTCCCAGATTTCGGCAGGATCAAGAAGGAGAGTGGTCTCATCGGCCAGCTTGATGGTGTAGTGTTGGGTGCCACGACGTGTGGGTACACCAATGACTTCGCCGCTTGTAAAGAGCGGTCGTTCGGACTGCAGCGTGGGACCGGGTATTCGGAAGGTGACAGTGCTGCCCGGTGGATGACGGATGGCCTTCCCATGGAGTCCATGCTCGCAAAGGCGGAGTTCAAAGCCTCCATTGTTGATTAGTTCAGGGAAGAAGGTTCTGACATTTTGGCTCTCATCCAGATAATAATCAGCAGCAGTGCAAAAGCGTTTGGTCTCGGGACACCAGAAGATCATCCCATTGGTCGTGTCACTGCGACCGACAGCAATGCCAGGGAATGTTTGGACTTCGAATTTGGTACGGGACCTGCTCCCATCCACAGGTCGATAGAAGAAACCAACACAACCAAATTTGAAGAGTACTCGCATGTCTGGTTTGGTACCGTAGAAGAGTTCAAACGGTGTACTGAGGAGCTGATCCGCATCCTTGGGATGGTTGCGAGGACTGATGTCTACCGGTAAGAGGTTCATGCGGAAGAAGGCTTCTCTGACAGCCCAAAACCAGAATGCTTTGGGTAAGTTGGCCTCTTGGAGGAATGCTCTGGCCATGCGAACAGCACAGTTCCAATGATTCTCAACAAGACCATTCTGTGAGTGACGATGTGGTGGAGAAGCTGTGACTTTTATGCCTCGTCGACGAAGGAACTTTCTAACGTTGCCTGCAACGAATCTCTGGTCGAAGTCGCAATGAAAGTGTTGGACACTGGAGCTGTGTTCCCCCATGTCAATAAACAGACACCACAGAGCGTCGATGATGGATGCCGCCTCTAGGTCACGCAATCCATAGAACCAGTTTTGTCGCGTACCGGCATCCACCACAGCAAGTCCATAGCGAAAGCCTCCAGGTGACACACCGTCGCCATAGCAGAGGTCAGCGTGTAAGGTACGTCCAGGAGGTGGTATTCGCGACTTCTTGCCACGTTTGCCCCGTCGGAGGTTCACGTAATCACCCACTGACGGAATGGCTTCACTTGCTGCACTGTGTCGTCCGTGAGAGCAGACTTCCGTGATAGCCTTGTAGTCACCGAGCTTCCGGTTGCCGAATAGAAGGTGCAGGTCGTGGTCAGTGAATCGACGTGCCTGTTCTCCAAGATGACTCTCAGGGGTGTATGCCACAGGTATGTCGCGACTGAGGGGCTTCATGACTTCAGCTTCGTCAATCGGTTCCATGTGGTGTCGTGTCGGTGCTGGTTCGAATCGCCGATTGACTCTGAGAGCCGTTCCAGCTGTGGCGAGTCGGTTGGAATAGCCGTGTACCACTTGGTCGTCGAAGTGGACCTTGGTTGCTGATGGTGCTGGCATGCACTGGACGTTGCACTCTTCAGAGTCGTCTATCCGTACCGAGAACGTAGGAAAGCTTAGCACGCAATCGTCGTGATCAGCCAAGAAGCTGCATCCAGGGCTTCTTCGTCTGTGTTTCCGAACGGATAATAGTCTAGTGGACAGGTCTGGCACGTGCCACCAATTTTGTTCTCGAACTACTTTGTTGGCTATCTGTATCTGCACCGTTCCATATCCGGCGATGGGAATTGGTGACCCATTAGCGACACGTATGTAGTGTCCTTCGAGTGGTGTGTAGGCAACAAAGTCTTCCAGGTACGGTGACATATCACCAGTTGCACCTGAGTCCACACATGCCAGTGTGTTCGTCTGTGTGCACGTGGCACGGTTGGCAGAGTCCACGACGAAGTGCCTAGGCAATGGTTTGATCGCGATGTATGCTCTAGCGGGTCCCACGATTGGTCCCTTGCGAACATAGTTGCAGGAGTAAACGAGCGGGTTGCACGGTTGATCATTGTCATTACTATTTAACATGTAACTAAGTGTAGACGCCTGTGTCACTGTGTCGTCGTCCTCGTCCAGTGTCGACTCTTCCGGTATGGTCGCCAGTTTGGCACCCAAGTTGGGAGTGAGTTCTCTGTTGGGAAACGTGACAGGTGGTGAGTTGATCGGCGCTACAATAGTTGACACGTCAATAGAGGGTGACTCACATCCGCTACCAGTACTCGAATCATCGTCGTCCGCTGGGAATGTGTGACTGACAGCATGGGCTGTGCCAGTATCGTTGTTGCGTGGTTTACGTGGCCTGTTGGCCTTTCCTTCTTTGTAGGAGTTCCCGTCGAACTCAATTCGGTATCCTGGGATGCAGTGCTCGCACGTAGACATGTGGTGCCTGTGTGGATTCTTGTGTCGAGCGATGACACACCAGGGGCAGGCAAAGTGGTATAGCACGTTCTGCGCTTGTTCCTTTGTCACTTCCACATCCTCGAAGGGTTTCAGGGCATTAACAATGGCCATGGGATCAGCTGGGTCGAGCGAAGTTTGAAAGGCTACCCCCCTAGGTTCCCCTGGAGAACCTGCGCGAACAGAGCTCGCCTGGTGGGCCTTCCCACGGGATGCCGTGGTGTATGCGCGAATGGGCGATTCACCAGTGAGGAGTTTGCTGTCGCAGTAATATTTGCTGTTTTCAGCACCAGTGAGGATGTTGTCGAAGTGTTCGGCAAGCTGGTCGATGGTACAGTCCAATGTAGGGGTGCCGGCAAGCTTACCGCCTGGACGGATGAGCCGGGTGTAACACTTGGACAAGATGGACCGGTACGGACCGTGGCGAACTGTTCCGGCCACAAACCAGCCACGAAGGACTGTCTCTGGAAGGATCGCACCGCTAGCAGCGCCATATTGGCGATTGAAGAAGCGAAGGCGAAGGAGGAAGGAGACGCAGTATTCACGTTGCTCTTGGACGAGGGTGCTGACGTCGGCAAAGCGGTCGTCCACACGGTCACTAGTGACAGGAAGGAATGTGTCGAGAACAGCCTGGAGCAGTTCTGGCCCACGTCGTTTGAGAGAGTGTTCCCGCTGTAGTAGGTCCGTGATGGTCCTGTTCTGTTTGGTAGCCTTGACGAGGAGTCTGGCCATGACCTTGGAAATGTCCTTGTTGCTTGTGGTGGTAGTGGAGTATTCCCAGATTTCGATGTCGTCTGCTTCCCAATGGTCTCCAGTGAGAGCGTTCTCTACACCACACTTCCACTGGTAGATCGCGGTAGCATTAGGTGCCACTGGTAACTGTGGTAATTCCGTGGATGCACGCAGACGGTCATCATGTGTGAATCGATTGCCTTGAACTATCGCACCAAGGGCATCCTTGAGGTGGTGTTGCGACTCGATGTGACTCATCCACAGGCTATCCAAGCTGGTCACGGACCCGTTATCACGTGATCTGGAAAAGGTTCCGACGCTCCTATTAATCGATGATGCCGGCACCGTGAAGCGTTGGCCATCTGCCGTGGTGACCTCTATCATGGGCTCTGAGTTGTTTTGGCGAGAACCGCTGCGCATGGGCGTACTGGGTGTACTAAAGGGGTTCCTCGCCGGTTCTGGTGGGGCCGATGGAGTAGGTCTTTCACTGATTGCGTGGGCACTGGTACATCCGTTCCGACTGAGGCATCAGGTCGCTCAGCTGTAGAGTGTCCAAAGTGGGTTCCACAAGCATAATGAGGGTCGTCAACGCCGAGTAGGCTGGCATTAATCACCCACTTGGTGGAATGCGTTGTCGCGGATCCACGGGACGCTCTGTTTGAATCATTTGCAGGTATTCCTTGGCAGAGTTGAGTTCCTTGAAGCCTGTCGGTGCGTCGCTAACTCCATTGTTAAGAACATCTGCCTGCATGGCCCATCCTTCCGCAAAGGACTGTACGATTCGCTGGCACGGTAATCCATCGAACCATCCGTCTACCACGTAGTACGTTTTGCCAGAGGTTGCCATGCTTCTATCTTGGCGATCATAGTATCCTCGCAGGTATGGGTGCCATCGCGAAGTCAACTGCCATGTCCTGCATTGGTCGACACTATCGTGACCAAGTACTCGAAGGGGGAAGACTTGGTAGATGTGACCGGTAGAGCCGAGTCGAACCAGTAACTTCTTGGTCTTGAGGCGGAGCAGATACGAGTCATTGTTGCAATCGACGGGGTTTGTTGTTCGATTTACCCCCCATAAAGCTCTCGCTTGTCAACAATAGTCGTGAGAAATTGACTACTGTACCCACATGGTGGGATCCCATGAATGATCGCAATGGGTCCAGTGGGTCCAGCAAGAGCACAGTCAGGGATAATAGGGACGTCATCAAAGCCATCGCCAAAGACGGGTCGCCGAGAGGAAGATGGCTGGCGGCTCGGGGTGCTGCCTCGTGAGAAGAGAAGGGATGGGCCAGTGGCCGAGCCTTCAACACCGGTCTGGTAAGATCCACTAAGGGAGGAACTAGCCGACGGCTGGCTATGCCAGGGAGCCACAAGAGGTGTGGAATCATGGCTGCGCTGGAGGGAGGACGTGTTGCTGTCAAGAACCGCCATAACGTCGTGAACCTGGGCACGGATTGCCGATGGCACACCAGAACTGATGTGGGAGCGTGGTGTTGGTGGCTCGAAGCCGGGTAATAACGATGGGTCATTGGTCCGAAAGATTGGCGATTGGGTGACACGTCGTCGAGGAGGTGTCACCTGTTGGAGTGGGTCGTGATCGAGGATCATTGTGGGTGGTTGGTGGTGGATTCATCGCTGCTGCTGTTGTATGGCGCCCTAGGGCTAAGCGATGGCATGTCCTCATTGTTGTAGGCGACAGTTCCTCATCGGACGCATCCTCTACTATCACTGGAGAGGATTGCGTCGTCTTGGAGGAAGTGGTGGAAGTGGCGGTAGCTGCTGGGGAGGAAGAGGTTGTTCGACTGGAGTCGAAGAGGTGAGGGTCTTCGAGATCGACTGGCCCATGTCTGAACACTCTTGGCGGCGGAGCCAAAGAGGTTGATCATGGTGCTGTTGTTCGTCTCTACCTCGCTAAAATTGGGCTATCATAACCTGTTGAGATGTAAAGTTAGATTATGGTTGTTTCTATGCTATTCTGTCATTTCAAGTCTTGTTCCACCAGCCTGCCTGGCTCTTATTCTGCCAATGAACCTGTCGTCCTCCCAGGACTGGGTTGGGTCCCACTCATGAATGTGAGTCCCTAGTGTGATGGCATTCCAGTCACAACAGCAGTAGTGACACGAGAGCTGCGAACCTGGATGACAACGATAGTGGCATTTTGCTGGCAGCAGCAAGTGATATCATGGAAGAGCGATCAGCGGAATCTGAACCTGACCAGGAAGAAGCTGATGACGATGAGAGTATGTACAGCAGTGATGACGACGACTACCAGTTTTTGACAGAACAGGAGCACGCCTGGGCTGTGGAGATCAAGGCTGCCGCGGAAGCTCCCGACAGTGGCATTCTCCCCATGTCGGACTTTTCCTATGTTCAGTATGCTTTGGTGACGAAAGGGCGGCTGGAAGAAGCATTGGCACGCATCAAGGGCGTGCAACAGTTCCAGTCCCATTATCAAGTGTCGGATGATCCCAGCAGAGGAATATCGGTGATAGAGCAGTTTATGGCCCTGCAACCCAGAGCCTTGCTGAACCTTGACATTTGCTTGGAACAAGATAGAGGAGAAGGAGTAATTGCATTTGATGCTTCACAGTACAATCCATCACTCGCCGAAACGCTCTCACCGGAACATGCGGACCCAGAGCACAATTGGAAGATTCACATCCTGTTCTGGTACTATGCTGTGAGGGCTGTGCAAATAGATTTCCGAGCCATTAGGCAGGGAATTGTATTGCTGGTTGACACCGCGGGTATGGACTGGAGCAACGTTGACATGAGCCATGAACAACGTTGTTTTGTGGAACTACGGAAACACTATCCTTGGATTGCAAAAGAGACTCGTGTCTACAACTGCAGCTTTGTTGCCTGCATGTGGATATCAATGCTCAAGGCCTTTATTCAGAGTCAACACTCTCAAGCAATCCAAATGGCTTGTGAGATTGGACACCACGGTGGGCAGCAGAGGGACCCTAACTTGCCCAGGCGCAAGTTGAGTGACTTGTACCTGCAGCCAAATGCAAACCGAGCTGCGCGCTATCTTCTCTCATCGGCCAGAGAACTGCTGAATGAGCGACATGAAAATGAACAATCCTTTCGTCTTTGAACAAGATGTTTGTTGGGCAGCGGAACGACTCGACTCGTACCGCCAATGTCGCGAAGCTGCATTCGAGAGAAAGTTGCAGGGACATTGCCACCCATGTATTATTGCCACCCATGTATTATTACATTGCAGCTATGGAGCTTCAAGAGCGCTGCCACCAGTACTGACATGTTCCAGGAATCTTTGGATGGCACGAAAATAATGAGGAGCTGTTGCTCCATAGAATGGTCCATGCTCTCCGCCTTCCAGAATCAAAACTTGCGGGGGGTTTGGAAGGCCACAAAGCTGCTCGTACTCTTTATATTGAATTGTATCATTGGTGCCAGTGATGAAGAGACACGGCAACGACAGTTCAGGCAGGCGTTGCAAGGCATCCCAACCTGCCATTTCACCAGTGATGTCGGTTTCACTCTGCCCGATTAGCTTGTGGTAAATCTTCGACGGGACGCTGTCGTTGGAAGCCTGTTGTTGATCATCTTGTTCGAGAAAGGCACGTACATCGTTTGGGAGGGCATTGCGGATCTCTTGCTGTCGTTGAGCATAGGTAGCTTCATTCAATGGAGTGTTCGAAATAATTGCACAGTCAATCGAGGAGGAAGACGAACTGTCCTTGCTGGCTTGATGTCGGCCTCCCAGTAGGTACTCCAACACGACTTGACCTCCCCAACTATGGCCCAGCACGCAGATACGTTTTGTGGGTGTACCCTCATAGCGAAGCCTAATTGACTGAATCACTTGCTGCAGTTCTAAAACGTAATACGATAGCGAGTACAACCCAGGAGTTTCGGTGGTCTCCGCCTTGTCTTCCTCTCCGGGTGGGAGTGGCGGACCTTCACTGCAGCCACAGCCCAGCTGATCGTAGAAAACTATCGCATTAATCCATTTGAAGTACTCACCAGATGTTGCAGTTCCGTCAGAAGAAGCTGGTGGTTTAGTTTTGTCATTCCAATCCAGTAGCAAGTTCTTGATGCCGTCGTAGCTCTCTTCGTGGCTGTTCAGGCCTGGTCCGCCATGAACGACAATGACGATGACGGCAGGTTGCACGTCCTCGGATGACAGTGGGGAAGATGAAGAACAAGCACCAGGTGTATCTCCACTGACACTATCACGGGGTGTTTTCGTCACCTCACGAGCAAACAGAGAGTGCCCGTGCTCGAGTGGTATACGAAAGTCATTTGAATGCAACCTCATAATATTATGATAAGATTCCCCGTCTACGATGGTCCAATCGGAAGCCGAGTTGGCGAATGGTGTTGCGGTACTTCCTGCTTGCTGTTGCTGAACTTGAATGTAATACCGCAGCCCTTCATTTTCTGCGACGGTCGTACTACGGTACTACGGTACCGCAGGTGCACGAGCAGGAGAATGATGTGAGTGAATTTGAGAAAAGGTTCCAACAATGTGCCAGCACAATAAAAGTCGACTATGTTCCAACAGGAAGAACGGGAACTGCTGAAGAAGAGTGCGCAGACTGTGCTACGAAAGAGAGATTTTCCGACCGTTGTGACGCATGAGAGATGGATACCAGTAGTGTAAGATCAAGCTGCAACCAACGTAGCAATGATGATCAACTAAACCAAAAAAGCTTCTCTAGAATCCGACTTTGTGCCTCAAAACTTTCCTCAACCACCCTGCGCATACCGTACGCAACAGGTGGCAAGAATTCAGTATGTACGGTACTGTATCGTACCAACCATTTGCATTTGCAGTGGAACCGTCCAATCTTGCAAAAATGGGCATTGCCTGTTTCTTACTATACTGACATCCCGGCCACTCGGACAATGATTTTCCCGGTAGTTCGCTGCTTTCTCATTTCCTTCAAGGCTCTCCCAGCGTCCTCTAGGGCGATGCATTTGTACTTTGGCACCAGAACAGATCCATTCTCGAGCAATTTGGTGAATGCCGTCCCTGCTCGGACCAAGTCTTTTTGTGCTTTGGCGCCATTCCGATGTCCACTCCCCAAACTGAGTTGATGAAAGGAAAGACCTTTTATAAAGGCATCGGGATATTGCTCGGGTCGTACCGTTACAACTAATTCCACCATTTGTCCTTCGTATCCCAAACACGAGGCGGCCAGCACGTCGTTGTCGACCAGTCCCACAGTATCCAAGGCGACGGGTACACCTTGTTGCTTGGTAATTCCCATGACTTTTTGGACGACATTTTCGGTCAGATAATCAATGACATGAGTGGCTCCCAGCATGCGCACATAGTCATGTTTGGCAGTCGAAGCGGTGGCTATAATGGTGGGAACTCCAAAATGTTTGGCCAATTGAATGGCAAATCCTCCCACACCACCCGCTCCACCCAAAATCAAAATGGAATCATGTTTCTTGGTACCATCCAATTGTAGTTTATCCACCAGTGCTCGATAGGCCGTCCATCCCGCACAGGGTGTGGCGGCGGCAATGGAAGGACTCACTCGGTTGTGGATACCACCCAGATCGACCAGTGTCCGAGAATCTTGCACGGCATATTCGGCCAAGGAACCCGTGGGCCGAAACATGTCGCCGTGATAGAGCACCGTGTCTCCCACCTTCCAATCCACCACCGCACTGCCGACCTTTGCAATTTCTCCCACGCCATCCACTCCCGGAACCCACATCGATTTTGGTACATTGGGAGGAATGGCCGAAAACCATTGATCGATTTTGGCATCGACTGGATTGAGACCCGCAATCCAAATTTTGATCAAGACATCGTACCCTTTGACAACTGTCGGAATCGGCAAAGCGCGAACCAAGACAAACTCGTCCTTATCCGATTGGTATCTCAGACCCCTCATACCGGTAGTTGGTCTACTTTGCTCCAACTTTTTAGTAGTACATGATCGGCTGATCGGGTGCCTTTTTCTCTCTCGCTGATGATGGAGGTGGCGGTGGGTGGGGTTCGCTTGGATCTTTTGCGGGACAATCAGTCGTGTGTCCAAGAATCTTTGGAAACCCCAGATCTTACCTCTAACCCTTAGAGAGAAATCTCAATCAACGACGCGAACAGGAAGAAGAGGCGAAATGTCTGGGTGCTCCATGGTCCATGGACGCTCTTGCCTTGTCTTATTGCCGTCACAGAGGTATCTAGCTAGCTAGTAGCTAGCTGAAGCCATGACTACGACTGAATCAACAGCAAAGAAATGCGTCTTTTTTGACATGAAGCACAGCAACAGCGCAGCCCGAATTCGGTTGTGGTTGGCACTCAAAGGAATTGGAAACGATCGAGTAGAAACCAAAATGATATCATCTTCGGCACAACTGTCGGAGCCAGACTTTGTCAAAATCAATCCATTGAAAAAGGTCCCTGCCTTTGTCACGGACCATGGCATGCCGCTCTTTGAAGCCAGTGTCATTATGGGATACTTGCAAGACAGATTTGGTTCCGACTTTGGCGAACCACCGCTGTTGCTGGATACGCCGGAGGATCGTGCCTTGGTCGAATTGATTGTGCGATGTCACGACCTCTACGTGGCGTCGGCCAATTGTACCCAACCCAACTTTTCACATACTCAAGGAGCTCTCTATTTGGATCCCACCCCAACGCCCTTTACACCGGCTCATCGAACCATGAATGCACACACCCGAGCCGCCAAGCTGGCAGAACTCTACAAGCAGTTGGATTGGGTGGAACGAACCTGTACTGTCACGACGAATGACGAGGATGACAGCCCTCCATTTCTTGTGGGAAATCGACTCACTCATGCCGACTTAACGTGGTATCCTACCATGGTCCGTGATACAGATTCTTTCTCGATTGGGTTGGTACATTGAACTATCTGACAACTCACGCCCATTTTGATCGCACTTTATATCCGTGTACAGGTGATGATACAATTCATGTTACCACGGTCCATTGGATGGCCTGATGACTTTTTGGAAAAGAGGTTTCCCAAGCTAGCGAAATGGTTTGGTCACTGCAGGTCTCATCATCATCCAATCTTTGACAAGGTCAGAAACGATATTTTGGAAGAAAATCAAAAGGAATATGACCAGGGGTGGTTACAGGGTGTCAAGGAAGATGTAAAAGCCAATCCAGAATACAAGTGGAACTACATTCTTGATTGACGATAGAAGGAATGCTGGTTCCAAAAAAGTATTTCGACGGAAGGGCGGCAGCAATGTGTTTGCCGCTCAGAGGGAAGCACATTCTACTGTACAGCAAAGCTGAAAACCCAACAAACCGTGACGCGCTCTTGTATGACTTCCATTGGTACTCCTCCTTGGTATGAGGAGCACCTCTAACGTCACACTAGCCACTGGTAGGGTTATCATCAGTTTTGTGTTGGGGATCCGTCATGCATCTCGTCTGCTCTCATCCTGCCGTTGACGCCACGACCATCCGAGTGACTTGCAGCCTGGTTGTTACTGTGATTGTTAATAAGGCCACTAGTAGCTACGGTATTAGACTAGATCGTATGAATTGACAATTTGAAACTTTAACTTGAGAATTCGTACTACGACGCTGTTTCGGTTGTTTGTTCATCATGCAACATGAAAAATGCAGACCACACAGCCACACCTCAACTGACTCACTGCCACAGCAACGGGTCCACTGCTTCTCTCGCTCGCTTCCATAACTAGGGGATCTCCAACATGGCAATGAGACGCTTGTACATATCGTCTCGAAACGTGGTGATTGGCACGCGGCCCTTGCTGTTCAGCAGCCAGTTCTTCAAGTTTTGATCACTGCTGATGCGGAGCCGAAACTCTTCACGTTGGTGAAAGTTTCCATAGTAAAAGACCCGAAGAATCTTTTGGAGCGTGCAGTAGGTAACACTTTGGGCATAGATTTGACTGGTCAACTTGAACACTTCCCGAAACTCCGCGAGAGGTGCTTTGGAGACCCACTCACTGAGCACAGCCTTGGCCTTGACTTCGTCGTTGGCGGCTGCGTTCACCAAATAGAATGCACGTTCTTGTGTCATGATGATCTTCCTCTTCTTGTTCTTCTTCTGCTTCTTAGCGACAGTTTCATCATTAGCACCACCACTGCTACGTGCGGGGTACGCAAAACCAGAGGGGGCCGCCGAATCATCGTCGGAGCACTCATCACTGATTGGAGAACTGCTGGCAACCGGGTTGGGGCGCTTGTGACTCGCCTTGCGAGGAATGGAGCCTGGATTCATCTCCACAAAGCTGCTTCTATTATCACGGTGGATGATGTTGGTGTTGCCGTTGCTCTCGCTGATGTCCGCACCAACGGTTCCATAGAGCTGGGCAAGCAATTCATCGAACTCTTGTTGGGTTTGATTCTGCTTGGCCAAGCATGCTTCAGTGGTGGAAGCAGCCTTCTGCTGTTCTTCCTTGCTCATGTTGAGCTCGTCACGAATGATGCCCAACTCCCGTTTGAGTTCTTGGCGCTTGAAGGTCAAGGACGACACAGTTTGGTCCACAGTGACTTGGCGGTCTCGCGCAGCCCAGTAATCACCTTCATCAGCCAACAGTTCCTCTCGCTTGTTGCTCAACTGTTGACATAAGAGTGCTGCACGGCTGCTTGTTTGGTGATGGCGACTGGATGGCGACATGATAACAGGAGGATCCGCATTGGATGCTTGTTCCACAAAGGTGGGAGGGTTCTTATCATCACCCAACTGGTGTTCCTGCAAGGCTACTTTATTTAGATCCGCCAAGGTTGTGTCTTTGAACTGCAAACTAGTCGACGGATTGGACGGCACCATGGCCGGCGGCTCCACGTTCTGATGACGGGCCTTGGAGGAAGAGAGCGCCACGCTGCGAGGGATCATCGAGAAAGCATCCGACGTCGACACACGCCGAACGGTGGGAGTACCGGTATCATCAAGGCGAAGCTTCTTGCTATCATGGCAATTATCAAATTCCATCTTCACAAGGCGCTTCTTGGGCTGTGGATTGCTGCTGCTCATGGTGATGAAAGAGTCCGCACAAAAACACAAGAAGAGAAGGAGTTTTGTTCCCTCCACTTTTGAAAAATGAGGCTGAAAGTGTGAGCTTTTTGTTTTCAGCTCCCCGAGAACCCTCCAAGCAAAATCATTCCACGATCTCTCTGCGCCTCGAAAGAACGATCTTTCTGCGCCGGGAAAGAACAGCCATTCTCTCATTTTTAAGAAAAACCGGAACATTGTTCCGGTTTCAACATCCACTGCATGAGGGTGTTGCAAGGTCGAGGCCAGGGGAAAGACAAGGGGCTATCCGATGGAACATGCGATACGTTGTGTCTTGGCGGAGCACATGATATGCAATTCCGAGGTATGTAGCTTTCTGCTGAGGGGCGGCGATTGTCGCAATCCTCCGTGCTGCCCTTTGACCACCAAAGAGTTGCCGATTTCGGAACGTTGTTCCGACTGCGGCAATGGTACAGGATTGATGTAGAAGGGGGAGAAGCTAACAGATATCAGGCTGTGGAAGAACACGGCATGGACATTGCAGTCCAAAAGCCCTGAAGGAGACCGTCGTGTTTGAGCGACGTGAACGAACGAAAATCATCTTTATCCTCGATACCGCCCGTACACGGTGTGATCCAACACTTGTTTCAAGGCCAATTTTACATTACGACTTCCAAAAGCAGAGTACGAAGGGGAAGGTTCGAGGTTTGCGTGCGAGTCGCCGAAGACTTGCCGAGTCCGACTTGTCATTGGTGAGATCGTCTGGAATTTCGGTGTGCGAGGTGCTCACATCACAATACTACGGTGCCAAGTGCGGTTGCCAAAGATGCAGCTCATAGTTAGACACTTTTGTCACGTGCAATGAACTCGTCTCTGCTCTGGTGAGTTTGCCCACTGCGGCTCGATGGACTAGCTAGGAGGATACGACGCACCGTTGGAAAGCACGGAACGGACTCTACTCGTCCTACCGGTATCGTGCAAAGCAGCTGCAAAGAACAGTCATGCTCTTATCGTATTCACAGTTCCGCAGTGGGTACCATACTGGTAGCCTCCTAGCACAAAGAGACACTAAGTATGTTGCAATCACTTCGTTATTGGGTAATCGACTCGTCAGGTCATTCATTATTTTTGTAACTCATCCTTCTTCTTCAAAAAAAGCCCGGTGGAACGTACAACTTAGGTGTAGTGGCATTGATAAATGGAAACAGTAAGTTGCGGCCACCACGAGGGACCATCTCGTGCAGATTCCTTTCATAGATATCTCCATAGTTGCCAACTGCAGCAACTGCCCTGACGAACATGTCGTTATACAAACAACAACCAAACGAAGAAACTGATGGCATCAACTCGGCACTACTCGAATCAACCCCGTTATGCTCAGCATAGAATAAAGATGTGACAGTCCATAAGACAAACGAAACCCACTCCTGATCCTCTTGTCGTGTAGCAAGGCAAAGGTTCTCTGGCAATCTACAACAAATTGAGCAGAGCAGCAAGAGAGCAGCAATACAACGCTGAGAAGCTTGGGGTGGAAAAGGGGAACACATCATTGCCATGCCAACTTACACCATGCCATTCCCTGCATTGACTGGCCCATAGAAGTATGGCTGAGAAAATGAGTAACCCAGTCCTGTAGTAGCCTCCTTGATATCACTTCTGATGGTCCAAGTGGCTCCAGCAAAGACATCTGCAGTACCGTTGGCCAACATTGAGTACCCCTCAGATTCATCATTGATTTCGATGACAGTGTAGCTCCCTTCCGAAGGCAAAAATACGGCTGCCTGTAGAGCCCGGCAATAGTCAATATCAATACCCTGCCACTCTCCCTTCACATTGTTATAAGAAGCAAACCCAGTTCTATTGCCTTTCACGGCACATCGTAGTTCCCCCCGTTCCTTGATCACTGAAATCGCACTAGCGGCAAGAGGCTCAGGTCCCATAGTGGTTACACCAATGAGGTAGGATTGATGAAGACCAGTGCTGCCATCATTGATGTAGTTTATAACAGGACGGGGGAAAATAGGTTCATATTCCCGTTCATACATTTCACCATAGTTGCCTACTGCAGCAATGGCATTGATGAACATGTCCTTGTACTGTTCACCAAAGAGATCAGTAGCGCCAAATGCTTCAGCTGTTTGTTGGGTAATGCCAGCTTCCTCAGCTGCCAGGAGAGCATGTGGAATGGAATTGACGAAATCACTCCACTGGGGGTCTCCATCATGCGTAGTAATAGCATAATACTCATTCACAGCCGTCTCTCCACGCACAAATTCACCATCGTATCCAAACAGACCCAAGAAGGTCTTGGCCAAGTCATTGTCGAACACAATAGCGACATTGCATTCTCCATTGATGAAATTGAGCAAAAGCTCAGATCCATCATTCACAAAAAGAGTGTCATTGCTTTGTCGTGGGGCAAATGTCTCCACCATGCAAACTTTAAGATCACTGCAATCCCCAGACAAGTCGTTTCTTTCGGCACAATCAACAAACTTTGCAATTCCTGCGTACACATTGTCATAATATAAATAGGGAGTTCCAACAGAGAGCTGACAAAATGGACAAAAAGGAACTCGATGTGAGAGCAGCCCTGGCAACAAGCAATGGTATGCAGCAACATGTAACCAGAACATGCCTTGCCAAGGATATCCATATTGAAGAGGTCCCAAAAGCCAAATAGTACATCAACTGTGCTTGCATTGCTATAAAGAGCATCAAAACCATCTGTTAAAATGAGCTGAGCAAAGTCAACGCCAGGGTCCAGAGCCCTGGCGGGCAGTGTGACAAAATCAGCCCTGCTGTCATCTCCAAACACCGCTGCTGCAATTGCTCGGCACTGCTTATTGGACGACAAGGTAAAAATGAGCCAACAGATCTTCTCACATGTGTAGTTGTCACATTGCTTCTTACCAAGGCAAGATCGATCAGCTCCAAACCACCAGACTCCGGCCCAAAGAAGTCCCTAATAGTACCCAGTAATGGATCAACACCACATCTCAGAACGCCTGCCTTATTGATGCGGTCAAGGAAGAAGCCCGGCTCAATGGGACCGGTCGGAACTTCTTTGCTGCCACTTTCCCTTGTACCCAGGGTAAAGTAAAGAACAACCACAACCGTGGCAATGACGAGGAACAGAATGCCAAAAACCGCAAACCAAAATAGTTTGCTGGTAAAGATGCTATCAGTCAGTGGCTGTGCCTCCACCAAGGCAATTGGATCCTCGTCAGGTTCCACTAGTGTAGCTTGCGCCAAGTAATTGCTTCCGCCTTCAGATTCCTTTTCTTCCTCCTCCTGACGGACTCTAGTGGTGGCAGCTCCTGAATCTCCATCTATTCCCTGTATTCTGTGATGGTGGGCACCCGGTTGGGTTTGGGCACCTGGTTGGGCGCCGGGTATCTGAACAGTTTGTTCTTGAATCAGCTGTGAAGATTGCGCAAAGTCTCTGCTTTCTCTTCTGTGCTTTGCCAGTTTGGATCGATTGACTATCTTTGCCGAACTTCTTGTCACGCTGGTTTCCGGGCTTCTGATTTCTGGGCTTCTGGCTTTGCTTCTGATTTTGGCCGTCTTACTTTCCTTTGTAGACATCGAGTGCTGCGTGATAGTGAGTTCTTGTTGGGTCTCGCCCAAATTTTTTTCGGCCAGCTGATCAGGTTCTGACTCTGCTGCTGAGACAATGTTATTTGTAGTGGTCAAGAGGCCATCATCTGGCGGTGCAGAATGTGGGGGTTCTGCTTCTGGTGTTTCGGCTGCTGGTGCCTGGAGACTGCTATTAAGAGTTGTCCAGAATTCACCATTGGCAGGGTCGGGATGTGTCGACGCGATGTCTTCAGAGTTACCATCTTGGTGCTCAACAGTTTCTTCCTCGTGTCCATCTGCAATCCTCCAGCCATCACTGTGATCATCACTGCCTGCCTCCCCGTGCGTAAACTTCCAGCCATCTGGGTCGACAGAAGCTCTTCTTTGGTTTCGGTTCGTGTCATCGTTGTCAACGGCCACGAAGCTGTCTTCAGCACTATCAGCGTGTGTTTCTCGGTTCATATCCAAGGATGAAGGGCAAAGCTGTGGACCAAGTTGATAGGCAGGAGGTTATAATAGTAATGAAGAGAAGTAAGTGTTTAAGATTCGATCATTCGTTTTTGTGGTCTTGGCGGCAAGAAGGGTTCTTCTTTGGCACTTCGCCGCTCTGGTACCACCGGTACCACGTACTGTACAATTATTGAACATCGTAGGAAGTACACTTAGATCTACCGTATGGAGTTGTGGTAAATATTGTGTCCAAGTAAGTTAGACACAATTATTTGGGTAGATGGGGTTGTACCGTAGGATTCTACATGCAACGTTACCGAACAGGCAAGAGGAGGAAAACGACGCACGGTCATGCGAAATTGTGCGTGCAGTACGGTACCGGTACTACATTTCTGCAACAGTAGTTGCACAGGGTCAGTATGTGCTTCCCCCTACTACTATGTGGATCTTACATACCCTCAGGATCAATGACAGTATGCTACGTAGAAAGTCTACAGTATCAGTAGTCATTGAAACAAAGATCCTCTCAATAAGACTCTCATTATTAAATAAACTGCAACAGTGAAGATATAACAGGGGCGCATTGCATACATAAGACCAATGCACATACTGAGAGGATTCCAATAATCGCTTAAGTACCACACAACATACCCACCCGATCCCACGAATCCAATGAGATCCGATCCAACCGTTGTAGGTACATACTCAACAAGCCAAAAGATCCAATCGTACGATCGACCGTTGCCAGTGCAGCATACTCAGTGAATCCCGTGCGGTAAAGAGGCAAACAACGGGCATATCCCATGTGAACGATCGATCGTCTCCTCGTCTCCGTACAGGTAACAGTTCAGTTTTCCTCACTTTCAGCTCATTATTTTCAATCCTTCTACTTTGTAAAGGAAACTCTGCCGAAATTCCAGCTCAAGCTCAACCAAACCAACAATTGCTTAGTTGACTAAAAAATTCATCCACCATGGCCAACAATGCAATGCTGGAGCAGCCTTTGGGTTGAGGACGTGCCGGATTTGCCTGAAGCACCCACGGAACAGCCCAAGTACAACCGGGATTACCATCGTCTCTTCGTCAAATCATGAGCTGGCTGCACAAGAGACGTACACCAAGGCGGCTCGCTTCCAACCTAGTGCTTTGGCCGGCATCCAACCACACCACGTTGCCGACTACTGAAATGGCGTGCGTATGGTACGACCGATGTTGACTTCAAAGACCTGGAGCAGAATCCAACTTGCCCTCCTCTACTCTTGAGCAAGACAAGAAAGCTATCTCCTTCTACATGCCCATCAAAGGTGCCACATGGAATGAACCTCCGGCAATCCAACCAGTCCGATCCTGTGAACGAAGTGGTCAAGGAAGCAAGAAAGCGGAGACTCAAAACCGCGGCAAGAAGTCCTGTGCCACCAGGATTTGACGGAAACTGAGTATCCAAGGTGGTCCATGAACTCTACGCAAAGGGAGCTTTGAATCGACCATCCGTACAGCCTGCAGTTGAAGCAGCAAGTCCATCTCATCACAGGACGGACGACATCTCCAAGTTGAAGTATCCGACTACAAGCCGCATCCAGACTCCCTTTTGCGCTCAGTTGCAAGGGGCATTGGTCCAAGAATATTTCGAAGAACGACAATGCCCTGAACAAATCATTCTTGGGTCGATGGATACCGACTTTGTGCTATGCTCGGATTGGCGAATTACATGCAGGCGTCCTTCAACTACGGTATGGCGCCGCTGGTCGGGAAGATGCATTCCTCTTTACTCCCGAAAGCGACCCAAGTTGGCTCCCAAGCACTGCAACGCAGCCTACCGCAACATTCTCAAGGCTGTCTTTTTGTCGGCTCCATTCTGGCTGTGGCGCTCCTCATTGCTGGTGTTCCTGGGAGTCACAGCATTCGGAAGTTTGCTGCAACTCTGGCAAGAGGATGGGTGCTACTGCTGACGAAGGTGACATTCGAGGTCGCTGGAAGGCTCGCTTTCTGGACGGGTTGTTGATGCCTACATTTCGGCTGAACAGCCCTGGATCGACGCTCGTGTTGCCGAAAAGCTTTGCATGGGGCCTCCTATTGCCTACAAGCTACACCCGGATGCCAAGGAGAGTGACTCCCGACTGGTTGATTGAGCATGTGGTGCCAAGGACGCATGCGTTTTACGACGGTGTCAACGACATTTCGCTTCACTTGGCTCTGCTCTTTTGTGGGCTGCTCTTGACGAATTTGGGAGGAGAGGATGGACCTCCCGTTCGTGTTAGGATCCAAGATGCGTACGAGCGCATCAAGGCCGATGTTCCTGTTGGCGTCAACCCTGTGTGAAAGTGCCTCTCTCTATTTGGACGCACAACACCCAAGCTCCACATCAACGAAATCGAGCGATGGATAGGGAGGTGGCGGTGGCACGGCTGGTGTCACTACGGGAACGACCGGCCAGGAAGCACTCGTCAGTTGCCAAATCAGTCTCGGCAGGTGACGGCTATGCAAACGCAACAACAGGTACGAACGAACGAGGAGATCTGACAAGGATTATTGCGCAGCACAACCAGCTCCAGCAGCTCATTGCGCAGGAAGGTAGGACCCGCGACAGTTCGGCTGCTGCTTTGAGAGGTTGGTTGGAGACTGGCTTGGCGCGGAGCTGACGAAACTGAATGGAAATATTTGCAGGTAAGTGTGGACTTGTGTCTGTTGGCTATTGCAACCATGGCTATTATTGCTGCTAACTCTATATTTTTGTTTGCTTTTAGGATTGCTGTTCAGCCTCCAAGGATGGCAACACCTGATCAGGTAGATGGTAATCTTTTTAGAAATGGGTTGACTGTGGAAAGGACTCGCGGAATGGCCAGACTAGCCTCAGGTACAGACAAGCTGTGGCCACCACCCCTGCTGATAGTAGGCCTGCCAAGCTAGCCAAGTACAGAACTGTTGGCTCTGCTTGGCAAGAGTGGATGCATGGTATTGGTGGCAACAAGCCAGCCAAGAACTTCACTGCTGATGATATCAGGGCTTGCAAGTCAACCTACTCCAGGAGGAAGCCGCTCTGGACTCTCATGGCTACACTTGTCAATGCTCAGAAAGCTCCAGCTTGGGTCATCTCCAAGATTGAGGAGCATTACAAAGGAAGTGTTTTGAATATTACTGCTGCCATCAAGCAGGACACCATTATGGGCAGTCTGCATGAGGATCTTTGTGTTGTTCGTGCTCAGTAAAGTTGACCTTAGTTTAATCAGCATGCTAGCCATGCCTTATAGTGAGTCTTTTACATGAGTACTTATTGTGTTTTCGTTTTCGTTGACTTGTGCTTTTCGTTTTCGTGGACTTGTGCTTTTCGAACGTACGCTACTAGCTAGCTAGTGGTAGCTACTACTAGCTAGCGAGCGATTCGAGGACTTGTGCGTTTTCGAGATAATAGAGGTGCGACGTTATCTTAACAGTGAGTAGTAGAGGTGCGAACCTCATTTTTCTTATGTGCGAGGACGTGATGTTTCGTTCGATCCTCACTGGTATGAATGAACGAACGATCAACCAGCATACACCAGGTGTCGCCTGGTGGTGTTGATACCTCGATCGATAGGAAGGATACCTCCTGTAGGATGGCTACCACAGGTACAGGCTCTCAGTATTTCTCTCAGTTCTGGGATATACTTTTACGGTATCTATAAAATTGCTACCTGGGGTATGGGGCAACCTTAGGACTTCGTTACAATGTGTTTCGAAATGCATAGTGGTGCGTAACGGCACGTAACTGCACGTAACTGACTACACTAATTACCATGGTAAATTGTACATAGTACGTACTTGCACGTAACTTAACTGCAAGTAACGTAACTGCACTGTAACTGCCGTATTTGACCAGTGTGGCTGTACCGTGTTGTTGTGTTATATCCTATAGTTGCCCCATACCCCTGGCTAGTATCACTATTTTGGCGGCCGCAATGGGGTTACCTCTGGTACAGGTATGCATACCTGTGGACTTCGAAGAGGGAGGCTGGGCAGATAGCTGTGGTGGTACGGTAGCACTTGGTCAGAGGTCGCAGTGGGAAGGGGGAAAGCATACAGTACGATGTACCTCTACATTTCAAACACTGTGGCCAGGCAGTCGCTGCATCAGCAAGCCACACAGCGTCAGTGCCAAAGGGTTCTTCTTCAAGTTGTGCTGGAAGGGTGGCCTTGAAACTGGCTGCACTCTAGACTTGAACGGCAACAAAGTGGGTTGTGAGTTGTGTTCCTTCCAACTGTTTCTTTCCAGGTTAGTGTCTGAAACACCCAACCAACCCATTGCTGGCCTGGTTGTGGCTGATCGCTGGCTAGTACTCCATTTCATCTTCTGGGGCTACGCAGTGTGGCTGCGTTGTTTTGCTTAATTCGCAAATTAGTACAGCGTAGAGGCTGCCTGAGTGGCGGTAGTGGAGTGACAGTCGTATCGACTCGACTCGACTCGTAAAAAAAGCCTGGAGGAATGAATGGCTTGAACAAGCAGCTGAAACAGCCCAAGCCAAATGGAAAACGTCCAATTGCGTTCCTATGATAGCATGCTAGCATGATAGCTGTACATTGCTTGCATGCTTCCTTTTCAATGAAACATCCTACCCACAAAGGCTGAAACGTTGTCGCTACTTGTGCTACAAACCTAGCCGGCATAGTGGCTGAGAAGCGTCATCGTAACCGAACATCTCTGCAGCTCTCAAAGCGAAGGCGGAGGGTAATCGTAGAATGTTGGATTGTGGAGTCAGAAGGGTGTACTACTATTAGTAGTGTGTTAGAAAGGTATTTTCGTATGAAGACAGACGACTCGGGATCCAAATCACGGTTCGTGATTGGGATGTGTGACTCAAATCAGATGGTTATCCGATCATCATCAGATGGCCAGTGTACGAGGAACGAGGACAATGGTCGTCTAGATGATGCAACTACAAAGGTTAGGAAGTTAGGTCGAAGAGATGAATGCAAGGAGCGACGGGATGGAAAAATGAATGGACGGATGAAGTCCATAGGTTTAGTAAAGTGGGAAAGCCTCCAGGCCAACCATGCACTTCAGGAAAGATAGATCGACGAGATCTATCTGCAGATGAAACTGCGAAGAAACAGAGGATCGAAAGATCCTGGTATATGTATGCATATGGAGCTCAGTTGTAGAGCTCACAATCTGAACGAGAGAGAAAGAAAACGAAACAATAGCCAGTCTACTAACAGTAGAGCTGGAAGGATATGATTAAATTAGAGAAATTGGCGTTCAAGTTCACACCTTTTCAACACGTTTTAAAACGATAGCTATCAGGAAAGAGTGAGCTTGGATCCAGGTTGTCAAACAGAAAAGAAGAATTGAGAAGTAAGTAGAAGATGTCTACGGAGGTAGAGGTATCATCGTCGAGCAAGTATCCCATCTTCGATTGGAAAGATGAGAAGTTCAGTTCTACAAGGTCAAGATGATTGCCCATTTATCAAAGTATGGTACGTAGAACTAATGAAGGACTCTACGGAGATCAAACCGGACAACTGGAAAACCCTACAGGTACGGCCAAGTTGTCGGACGACGAAAAGAAAGATCGAAAGTCTGCAGAGAAGAACAGCAAGGCTGCGGAGAATACTGCTGGATCGAACAGATGTGGAGACCATGAAGGGCAAGTCGCCTTCGACCTACTGGCCTCACACCAAACGCTGACCATGCTGCTGGGAATTCAAGGGCATGTGGGAATCCATGCTGGACCTCTACGATTCTGAAGACAGTGGTTGAGGAGCAGCTCGACGAACGGAATACTACGCGTATAAAGATGGACATCAAGGAAACCCCAAGAAGTTCGAGATTGGAATCGACGTGAAACGCAAGAAGCTAGCGAAGATGGGTTCAAGATATCGGACGAAGAGTACATCAAGGACCTTCTCGAGAGATTCCGAAGAAGGAAGGAGAAATCGGAGTGTATCATGAAGTGAAGAAGAATTTTCTGAGAAGATCAAGAAAACAGGACATGGAATAACGTAAAGAGTGTGGTGGATTACTTATGCGAAATCTACGATGAGATTAAAACACGGAACAAGTCGACAGAACACAATGGCGAAACAGCTTTCATGATTGGAGGAAAACAATTCAAGGGCGATGCAGGAACTGTGGGAAAATCGGACACAAGCAACAAAACTGCCCAGACAAGAAAGGCTCGAACGGAAGAACTACGGACAAAAGTACCAAGGAAAGTCAAACGGTAAATTCAGCAGGAACAATGGAAGCAGTAGCGGATTTCAAGGAAAGAAGAAATTCAGCGGAAAGTGCTTCCACTGTGGAAAGATTGGGACAGGAAAACGGAATGCCTAAAATCAAAGGGAACAACGAAATGTAGAAGGAGCAAAAACAGCACAAGAAACAACTAAGAGATGGCATTCATTGATGAGCGAAGAAATATGGATGCCATGCCGAGGAGTAGAGTGTCAGACGATGAAACAGGAGGAGTAGAAAGAAGCATCGGAATATGAAGGAAAAATGGGACGCATTCTGGACGATTTTGAAAGCGGAATGACGTGGATGCAAGATGAGAGAAAGCTTGGAGCAATTAAATTATGAGGCGATGGACGCCCTTAAATCTCTCCAAGAAAAACAACACGACTGACTAAAGAAGAATCATGTCACATACAACAAGAAACCAGACTTACCCTATCTGTTTCTGCGAAACAGAGAGCAGGGCAGATATCCGACAGCGAAACAACTCCACGATTAAAGCAAAACGGCTACAACAAAGAAGTTTCTGAGAAGGAGGAGAAACAACAGAACAACAAATCCGCCCACAATCTAGCGAAGACGACAATACTACAGCTGTTTGAGCAGAAGACGTACAAGAAGTAGAAAGATGTCGAACAGATTTCAAGATGCCCGGAACGTGTAGAGGCACAGCTGTCACCGGTTGGAGTCGACACATAAGAAGATAAGCAAACATCCAATATCCATTGAGCAACCGACACCCATGAACCGAGCAACGAAGGATGGGAATTGGACATTCACACATAGTAGGTAACAGTGGAGGAGAGATCGCGGAAGAAGCATGCCAACTAATCCCCGAGTCTGTATGGGAAGGGCACTCGAGACCCAGAGATGAAGCAACTGGTCGGAAACTTCGAACAGTTCAGTGTTTGCTGAGGATGATGCCAAACAGATACAGAACAACCCCCATCTCGTGGAGTCTCCAGGCGGAAGTGCTAGGATGGGTCAGCAGTTGTGTTGCTCTTCGCGATTGGACTCCAACACGACAATTATCGCAGGTGGCTATGTTAACGTGCAAGATAAAGCGCGGAAAAAACGTCGGCGAAGTGAACAGGAAACGCAGGAATGTTCAGGGTTTCACAGGCATTCAGCATTCCCGAAGTAGAAGTGAAGTATGTAACGGAGATAGTCGCACAGGCTCAATACAATCGGGATTGAAAGGTGCACGTGGATATGACACTATTGAGAAGCGGTATTCGCACAACCCTATGCAGTGTATTGTACGGTGTACGTGTTTTCTTCTCTGAGAGACAAGCAGCTTGCAGAGCAATCACCTCCAGAGGAAGGATTCCGATGTGCTCGGAGGGAGTTCGGACGAATTAGCCTACAACTATTGATCCAAGTCGCGGCCATCGTGTGACACAGCTTCCACATGGGGAGCTGCTAATTGCTGGATGGACGAACTCAGCGATGGTAGGACAGAGACAGGTTCTCCCTCAAACTTTCTAGCGCAGCACCGCGACGAGCATGGAAGGGTTTTGTTTATGTTGGTCAGTATAAAGCGGACCTGGATGAGAATTTCGGGCAATATTGCAGTGCCTTTGACTTTGGGGGCCAGGAGTTATCACCCTCGATGGTATCACAAGTTTCCACGTTACTACAAGGGTTGGACGCATCAACTTTTCGGTACCAACGAGATGGACTAGCGCCGATCGTGATCGAGAAACCCCCCGGCATCGACATGCTATGGAATGCTGGCCTAGTCACAAAAGGACAAGTGAGTCACTATGTGGACGCCAACGTGCAAACAGGAATGCAGGTGATCATACGTCAGTTACCATACTTCCCACAGCGTCGAGTAATGTGGCTCAGTTAAAACATGGCAATAGGAAAGTTCGAAAGGCAAGGAAGAAGCGATGGAAGATGTACAAGGTAATGAAATAAGCGGATGAGTATGTGTTCACCATGAGGTCAGAAGAAGGTTTCAGCCGGAGCACATGGATTGCAGACGGTGGTGCATCAACTCATATGAGCAATGTGGACGATGGAAAGACTGATGTGGAAGAAATAGATGAAGGAATCAAGGTTAGAAGTGGAGACAAGATCCAAGCAGTAAAGAAAGGCACGATCAAATTAACGGCAATGCAACGTGATGGCACGACGTATGACTTGACACTCTCGGATTACAAGTATGTCACCAACCTGGGTGTATGATTATTTAGTTTGGTCAAGGCAATCCAGAAGGTTGGAGCATCATTAAGAACCAAGATTGTCTTACGCACGCAGACCAACGAATAGTCTTTGATATAATTAACTCAACCAAAGAGGGATATCTTTGCGGCATTGATCTTTTTCCACAGGACATGCCACGAGAGAGCAGTTACGCGTGTACGGATGACACGGCACTGTAAGCGACTGAAGAGACTTCGCAAAGTAACACTGTGGATACGCCCAAGACGGAACAACCAAGTAAGGAGAAGTACTGGAAAATAAACGACATCCACAAGAAGCTGGGACAAGCGAGTGAAGCCGCACTAAGAAGGACAGCACATCAGTACAGGTGGAAGCTCACAGGGAAATTAGAACCATGTTCTCACTGTGAGCAGGACGAGCAAAGCAAGCACCCGTAGCCAAGGATACTTCAACGACATCAGAGATCCCTGGAGAACGAAAATTTATAGATACCTCGTCTGTAGATGAAGGCACGTCTACCAAGGGAGGAAAGTATTGGCTGGCGATAATTGATGATGCTACCAGTAAGCGATGGAGTAGGATCATTCAGAACAAACGCGATGTCATCCTTAAGGTCAAGAACTTCATTCGAGTGCTGGATCGCAGGCGCACTCCAGTACACTACATACGGATGGACGATGCAGGAGAAAACAAGAAGCTGATGACGGGAATGTGAAACGCGATTAACATGTTTGAGACGGTTAGTTTGAGTTAACTGGACGAGATACGCCTCAAAAGAATGGAAAGGTAGAACGATGGTTTGCAGTAGGCACCGATCTGATTCGGGCCATGTTCCATGAAGCTGGTTTTGATGAGAAGCAATGAAAGTTTCTTTACGGAGATGCAGTCATGTACGTCACTGACGTTGAGATTGTACTACAGTCAGCATCTCATGAAAATCAAAGCTACCGCATGTTCTATGGAGAAGACATGCCACCAATGATCCAAGTTGCGACGATTCGGAGAAGTTGAATACGTCAAGTTTGTTGGAAAAATCAAGGTAAAACTACAAGATCGCGGACTACCTATGCTGTATCTTGAAAGAGCACGGAATCACAGAGCAGACACGTACAAGAGCTACACTACAATATGGCAACGGAGAACAGTGCTCACACCGCATGTGATCTGATGGACAGACGTAGACGAATGGGAGGGTATGGGTCTACCCAGCACAGCAGAAGAACTCACACATATTGGAAAAGATAAGCTCCTCAGCGTCCTACCTACAAAAAATCGGGAATCGAACTCTCATGATCTGCTCCTTAAACCCACGAAGACTACCAAGGCCAGGAGCAATCACACTGAAATCAAGAAGATTAATAAAGTTCTCAGCGACCCAACAGCCAAACACCTGACCGGTCGCGACCAAACTATCCAAGTCAACGCGGGAACTACAGAAGACTCGGTGCGAGCTACAACCACCAGGCCCTACAGACACTGGACAAGCTAGCGGCAGGTACAACCTCATGACGGGGGCTCCCTCATGCAAACACTTTCGGACGATGCATCGAAGGAGGAGAGAAGATAAAAGTCAGCACGAACAACCGGAAATCACCGCCAATAACAGAAGCAAAGAATTCAATGACAGAAATGGCAAATTTTCGACGATTCCAATGACAGAACGTTTTTGGAACGCACATGAAGACTGGATGAAGTTTGGGTACACGGCATCAGAAGTAGATTTGACGGGAGGGCTAGGACAGGCATCCATTATCAAGATGACTCTCGCTTATGACCCAAGGACTCAGGAATCCAGCAAAAGTACTAAGTATTTGTTCACCAAGCCAAGCACAGTTCGAGGAAGCTTAGGACCACCGGAACCATTTACAGCGAGAAAAGTGGAGGGAGGCGATCAAAGGCGAGCTAGACAAATGGTAGAAACTCAAGGTCTGGCGCAAGATCAAGAGATCAAAATGGAGGAAGGGAGACGATAGTGTCAAACCACAAGTGGTGCTGGAAATCAAGCGGAATGGAAGATCAAGAGCTAGATTGGTGGCCTGCGGCTACAGTCAGGTACCCGGAAATGATTGACAACATCTCAAGTCGGTGGCTAACGACATCACCTTCCGCATCCTCTTGATTTACTACTAAAGAAGAGGGAAGAGCGAAGCAATATATCTTCGATATTGGAGAAGCATTCCTACATGAGAGAATGGACGTAGTCAACTACATGGACTGCCCAAAAAGACTAGAACACCAAGACGACGAATGTGTCATACTGGACAAGACCATCTATGTGCTTGCAGAGCGCACGACATGTACTACTTGAAGTTTGCGAGTGTCCTGGAAGATTAGGATTCTTACATGTCCTAGTGATCCATGCCTCTTCATGCGAAACAAGAATAGGGAAGATATGCGTGATTCTATGTACGTGGATGACAATTCTCACCATTGGAGAAGAAACGATATCAAGGAGTGCTTCAAGGATTAAAGATCGAGGCTAGAACATGACCATAGAGTACGAACTAACGGACTACCTGAGCTGTGAGATTCGGATGAATACCCCGAAAGGATGCTGCATGGGTGGGACAACCCAACAATGATCAAGAAGATTCAAACACATTCGGAGAGGAGGTACAGAAGCTACCCAAGTACAAGCTAGCGGGAACACCTGGACTCAGGAATAGTAAAGACAGACAAACAGAGCGAATGGATCGATGAAGAACCAACAGAGCAGATATCGAACAAGGAGTAGGCATGCTCATGTACCTTATCAAGCATTCAAGGTCAGAGATCTCGAACGCGGACGAGAGCTAGCTAAGGTCTTGGGATGCGCAACGCCGGCAGCTTACAAGGAAATGCTACGCTGTTTAAAGTACGTGTTGGATCTCAATGGAACCGTGGACTTTTGTGAGACAGAGAAGAAGAAGGACCGTGGAAATTTGAAGTATTCTCGGATTCGGATTAGGCCGGAGACAAGAACAACAGAGATCAGTCACGTCCATGATGATCTTTCTCGAAGGTGTACTCATTCATGGAGGTCCAAGCTACAGAGGTCGTAGCATTGTCGAGTTCCGAAACTGAGGTTCTACGCGTGTGTCGAAGCAGTGCGAGAAGTCCCGTCATCGCGCAGTTTCTGAAGTTCCTACAGTCAGGTAAACTACCTGTGCAATGAAGATCGATAACGTAGGTGCTATCTTTTGTCAAGAACAAGACAAGTGCAAGTCGACAAGAGCCATATGGATACGGAGGGTGCACTACGGGTGAACCAAATGATAGCAGACTGGCCTAGTGAAGATTGATTTCTGGTTCGCGCGGAAGACAACTTGTGCGACATTGGAACCAAGAATTGTCAACGTCGAGACCTCGACGGACATGCACCGAAAACTAAAGGAGACAAGGAGCAATTGGTTTGAGTATGGAAGAAGGTCGCTGCATCATCCGAAAACAGAAGGGTGTTAGAAAGGTATTTTCGTATGAAGGACAGACGACTCGGGATCCACAATCACGGTTCGTGATTGGGGATGTGTGACTCAAATCAGATGGTTATCCGATCATCATCAGATGGCAGGTGTACGAGGAACGAGGACAATGGTCGTCTAGATGATGCAACTACAAAGGTTAGGAAGTTAGGTCGAAGAGATGAATGCAAGGAGCGACGGGAGGAACAAATGAATGGACAGATGAAGGTCCATAGGTTTAGTAAAGTGAGGAAAGCCCTCCAGGGCCAACCATGCACTTCAGGAAGATAGATCGAACGAGATCTATCTGCAGATGAAACTGCGAGAAACAGAGGATCGAAAGATCCTGGTATATGTATGCATATCGGAGCTCAGTTGTAGAGCTCACAATCTGAACGAGAGAGAAAGAGAAAACGAAACAAATAGCCAGTCTACTAGACAGTAGAGCTGGAAGGATATTGATTAAATTAGAGAAATTGTGCGTTCAAGTTCACACCTTTTCAACAGTAGTGGCTGTATACGTACTGCAGTACGGACAAAGTCATGCGGTGCCTGTGCGATGTAAAAACTTCGTCTGAGATGTGTGATTGACTTGGTCCAAGACATGCTGTTGCCTTTTGCTGCACAGTGCACAGGCAGGCCGATGGTAAGGACTCGATTGATTTGGATTCTTACGACCTCGATTTCTTTGATGTGGCTCACAACAAAACACAAACACTCCCAAGGAAAAAAGCAACCACTCCGCAATCGGCACCAAAAACAACTCAATCAATTACATCATGAGCTTTATCGAGAAACACAACATTGTCTACAGCGGGAGCATGCCATCAAATCAGATATGTGGCCTCTGGAAGATCTGGCAAGAGGAGCGAGCAACTCCATCAGGTGGCTCCTTGATCTCGGACATGCCAGTTCCCAAGGCTCACTTGGCCCACATGACTCTCAGCACTACCCCTGCGGCCAGCCCAGCCCAAGCGACCCACAAGTACTTTGCTGGTGTCAACGGTAGACCGGATCGCAGTCATGGCAACATCATTCGAGTCGATACTTCTGCCTTCATGATGTTTGAGGATATCCCTGAGCTTGTCGCCCTCAACCGTTACAGCCATTCCTGAGTTGGCTTCTAGCCACAAGGGCACAATACAACGTGAAATCACATCCAGATCTCTTTCAAACATAGCTGCTTCATACCCAGAGCAAGCAAACCAACTGGCAGATTGTCAACAAGGTCTTGTCGGACGCTGCTAGCTGCTGACAACAGGCAGCAAACCAGCAACCACAACAATACCAATAGACCACGGGGGTAGATTATACAAAGGAGACACGGGCAATGGCACTGCCTCCACCCAGCGAACATCGCACCTCTTCCTACGGTATCTTGGGTATCATCGCTACGGTACACAATAGACAGTCTTCCACATAATAATAAAAGCTTCCCATTTCAACTACAGTAGATATTCCGATACGGTAGGTTCCTCCATTCCTTGCTTCTCAGTGAGTGGACTCACCACCAGAGCAGCCGTCCCGCGGAGAAGGAGACCTCGATCTACACAGTTAAAAGGAAGGTACCGGTAGCGTGAATGGCGTTGGCGACGCCAAAAAAGTTCGCTTGGCGTCTTTCTCGTGATGGCTGACTGGCTGGGTGTATTGCCTATACATGTAGTTACCCCAGGTGGTGTCCAGTCAGATCTAGTTGACCCCAGGTTGCCTTGCGGTTTCTGCGCCGGCCTCCAAATGTGCAGCATTCCCAAAGTGGAGCCGTGTCTTGGGACAGATTCGAGGTACTCTATGTGTAGCACTACCAGCCAAGATGGGCTGCTTCTGAAACTCTCGCTGCTACAAAGTCAATGATTAATCATAAGCTTTGGGAAGCCATTGACGAGGCAGGCAGCTTTGGTAACACCACCACAACCATTGTGGCGCACGCTGCTAACAGGCGCCAAACAAACCCAAAGCTGCCTTGCGGTGTATGAACCCGGCATAGACTCCTGTTGTCAGCAGCGGAGTGATCCTCCACCGTAGATGGAAGGTACCTAGAGCTGGAGCTATCTTGCCAGGTTCCAGCTTTCAGATTGGTGATTGAGTTTGTTGAAGTGAACAGCTCACGAAATCGCATGGCAAACGGTACCACTTTGGCGAAGAACTCTGAAAGACTTATTGTCCATCGTGGCGTCATCAAAGATACTCCATCACCCAACTCCGAACCGTTGACAAAGCAAAGATCCATCTCTCCCTGAGCAAACACTTTACTGTCCCTCTCTATGTTAAAGGTTGCACAAAGCCACTACCAACACTTTCATTATCTCTCTTCTGAACCAAACCCTTTGATTGCATCCCTACTCAGCATTGTTCAACATGATTGCAACTAATCTTGTCCGCCGAGTGGTGCCAACTTGGCGTCGCCATGGTCGCTCTGCTGTCAACAATTATCGAACCATGTCTTCTGGGAGTGTTGATTTCTCTAGTGCTGAGAATACCAATGCCTTTGCCGATCATTGCGATTTGAATTTGGCTTACAGTCCATACCCTCCCGTCCCAGAAGGACCATACGAGCCTCTGGCAGAATTTGTTATGCAGGATTGGAAGGGACACAACCCCAACGGCGGATTTTTGGGCGAACAAATCGCTATCCGAGACACTGCCACTTCCATGACACGTTCCTTTGATGACTACTACAATATTGCTACTCAAGTCGGAGCTGTTCTCCTGGACGATTATGCCATTGAAGAAGATCAATGCGTGGCCTTGTACTGTCCGAACCATTGTGACTACTTGCCCATTTCTCTGGCAGTTGCCCTTTGTGGATCCAAGCTCACTCCCATTAACCCACTGTATACACGTTCAGAGCTATCCACCGTGCTGCAAAAGTCACGTTCCAAGGTCCTGTTCGTCCACGTATCTAAGCTCGACGTCGCACTTGAGTCTGTTCAGCAGGATTGTCCAGGAATTGAAAAGATTGTTGTGATTACTGATGAGGCAAGCGAAGGGATTCCGGAAGGAACCGTCAATTTGAAAGATTTACTCGACAACCCAGACAAAAGACTGACCAAAACGCGTCGAGTTATGCATAAACACACCAAAACCCATCCCTACCTGCTACCCTACAGGTTAGTGCAGCAAAAAGAGTTTTGAAGAAACACTCCCGTCCACGGTACCGGTCTGGTCGATCTTGCTCACAAATCTATTTCCAACTCCCCTTGTTTGTCACGCAATCTCAGCTCGGGCACCACTGGCCAACCAAAGGGCGTATGTTTGACCCACGAAAACATGGTGGTAAATCTACTTCAGTTTCACGAAATTGAAGGGTTGGCTTTTGCGCCGGTAAGAAAGTGCTAGAACAGAAAACTAATTGTGATTGAATGCCCTTTGGTTCCAATGACGCTCATTAAAGGATTTGTTCTACGCAGGACCACAAGCTGATTTCGCCTCTACCATTTTTCCATATCTATGCGTTTGAGCTATCCATGATTCACACTGCTTGGAAGGGACATGAGCTGATCACATCATCAGGACGATTTGATTTGGAGGAATTCTGCCAAACTGTTCAAGAACACAAACCGGAGAGATCGCACCTTGTGCCTCCTATCATGTTGGGGCTGGGAAAGCATCCAATTGTCGACAAGTAAGTGACACTTGTAAATGATACAAAACAAGATTGTCAGGCGATAGTTTGAGGATTTCCGTGGTCATTGCTATCAAGATCTCACTTACTTGGTCGTTGCATCCACCAAGATACGATATGTCGAGTTTGAAGACTATCATTAGCGCAGCTGCTCCCTTGGGAGAAGACAACGAGAACGCAGTCAAGAAACGCTTTGATGGTATCTGCGTCAAGCAAGGGTGGGGCATGTCTGAATTGAGCCCCTTGGGCACACTCAATTCTGACTTCAACGCCAAGCCCGGGAGTGTCGGTCCGTTGTGTCCGAACACTTTTGGTAAGGTTGTTGGCGAAGACGGTAAGTCCCTGCCTCCAAACGAAAGTGGGGAACTACTCATCAAGGGCCCCCAAGTCATGATGGGCTACTTGGATGATCACGACAAAACTGCCGAATGTTTGAGTCACTCGGGGTGGCTCCGCACGGGCGACATTGCCCATTACGACGAAGACGGGTACTTTTACATTACAGATCGTATCAAGGAACTGATCAAAGTCCGTGGATTCCAGGTTGCTCCTGCCGAATTGGAGGCGCTGCTGCTAACGCACGAAGCCGTCAATGATGTGGCTGTGATTCAAGTGCCGGACGAAGAATCAGGTGAAGTGCCACGGGCCTATGTGGTCTTGAAAGACACCCATGCTAGTGTGACCGATGAGGACATCAAGGAATGGGTAAAAGGGCTTGTGGCGCCATACAAGCGATTGGAAGGCGGCGTGATTTTCACTGATGTTATTCCCAAATCTGCATCAGGCAAGATCCTGCGTAGAATTCTCCGAGACCAAGTCAAAGAAGAGTTTGCATAGAGACAGGGTTGTAGAAAATCAATAGAATTCAATCAACAGACACAGTACTAAGAACCAGTCTATTCGTGAGACTGGCTGGCAATCAGAGTTGTTCGAGAATAAATGAAGGCTTCACGGTACGATCATATAGAAACCAGATCCGAAACTCTGCCTACTGCTGAGATACCCAACTACCAACTAGTCTATTCAAAACACGAGCGTGAGGGTTGGCTGACTTCAACCCACCACTTTTGGCTGGTATCAAGATGACGAGAGCTACATAATAAGTCTATTCTGTCGGTTGTCATAGGACTCTAGTAATAAGATTCTGAAAGTAGAAAGAACGATTGAATCATTCAGTCTATCTACTTCTGATGACGTCCAACCCTTGCCACCGAGCTAAGCCAGCCGTAGGTTAGCCTGCTTGTGACACATTGCTGGATTGCCAACAGCTTTCATAAGAGATACCTGCGTGCAACAGCTCTCACCCGCGCATCAAATGAAGAGGATGTAATTGGAGTATCGTACCGGTAGAAAGGGTTCATGGAAACCTGGAGAATTTAACAGTTGTTGATTGATTGAAAGAAGTAGTTTGAGCTGTACCATCGATGGGATGCAGCGCCTGAGCATATCATGTGCCTACCTTCACGTAAAGCTCATAGACTTCCTGGAAGAAGTTTTTGATGCTGTCTTCATTTTTGCCCCCATGCAACAACATAAATTTAATGTTTCCAGCCGTCAAGAAAGTCGACACTTGTTGATGATTGACCTAAATCAATAAATGCAACAGATATGCGATTGTCAGGTTAAATGCCAATATCCCTATACTTCTGTACCGACGGATGAAATCGATACCCACAACGCACCTTGTCAACCACTTTCAGGAACATTTGATTGGTCGTCCACGCAACGTTCTCCACCAGATCCAACCCCGAGTGCAGTACAAAGTAGTTCTGTCTCGTGACGGCGTCAGAGCTTGGTGCAGCGCCTCTTTTCAAGAACTCTGCTTCATAAAGTGGTTCATTCTTCCCGACAATCACCAAAAACAGAGACTGATTAGGAGCTGCAGCGGAGGTCATGTTCAAATAATGATGCCCTTTGCTACCTGTACCGTACAAACTAGGAGGAGAAGAGAGATCGACCGTTGCTTTGGATATTGGCCGCCATGGTGGCAACATCCGAAGTAAACCAGCAATTCGTGACAACTGAAAAGATTTAATCACGTTTATGACGTCATGAAACTAAACGCGTTCTCCCAGCATGGTTGTGAGGACGTGAGGACGAACTCACAGCATGCACAGCACTACGAGAGCTCCTCTGTCAACTAAGGAGAGGAGCCATAGAGTAGTGTTGTAGTAGCTTAGTTAACCTAGCTAGCAATTCCTAGGTGCTGTGTGGCTGAGGGGAGCTCTGCTACGGCATCTCGTGTTACCCGATCCTTCACAGCAACAGTATTTCTTTATGGGCGGGGGAAGGTGGTTGGTTGCCTTCTTGGCCGAGGAACTGGTGTTGAGGACATGTGATACTCACTTCCTCATGGGTGACCAGGTGTTGGGTTGGGATTTGTCCCTGGATTTGCACAAGACCGGGTCCTGGAAAGTTCCAGGAGTTTTCAAAGTGGATGTCAGGAACTTGCTTTTGCTCGGGGCCAGGCGTACTCTTCAAGGAGTACCGAGTCGGCAACAGGTACTATCGGGCGAGATGCAATTCCTAGCATTTGCCCTGCCCAAGCAGGTGTTGCGAGACCAGGATGAAATGGGCCCAGAGATGGTAGAGGCGTTTCACGAAGCTTTAGCCCAATTTATTTTACATGCACTGGCAGTTTCTTTGTGTTGTGCAAGGCTTTTAAAGTACATGTACGTTTGTCAGACTTTGGGTCGGTCCAGGTGCATTGAGCACATCCCAAACAGTGTCCAGACCACAGAATTGGAGACTTTGCAGGATGATCATCCCATTTGTCAGCTTCTAGTAAGAAGGTGAGGGAGCTACCTGCTAGCACATTGGCTCAACAAATTCTGCATGACGTAACAGATGACTACAGTACAGCAGCGGTACTTCCGACCCACCAGAAAGCTCGGAATTCAACAGAGACGGCATACCCCTGGTATGGCACGGCCCTTGATCAGATTTCATGCAAGAGCAGGCAACCAAATGAAACGACGGCTTTTGCACAGCCCGCCACTGGCCCGACAAACTGCAGCGAGGCAAGGGGGCGTTTTCCACAATAAGGTACTCCACCAGTTCGCGAAAGCAATGGTTTGCCTCCGAAGTAAACACATGCTTTGTTACAACCGTAGCTTTGTGACATTGGCAACCGTTTCTGTTGTCACCACATCAACAGGTGCCACAGTTGGAGCCATGGTGGTCATGGTCCCATTCGGGGGTGTCGCCGTGGGTGCAGCGGGAGCCGTGGAATCCTCTTTCATGAGTACCGCCAAGACGATACAGAGAATAATGATGCAACAACACCATGTCAAAAAGGCTCCCCCCAGAATTTTGAATAGCCGATCGACATTTTGGAATATTTTGTTTTCGTGAATTCGCTGGGATCGTTCTTCTTCGATTTTGTGAATGTCCTTTCGTTTCATTTGTCGTTCGACATCCTTGTATTCTTGGGGATGATCTTTTTTGAATTTGTCCGCACGGTCATTCCACGTGCGGGCCCACATGGCCGGAGTGACTTCAATGGTGGCCGAGTGCTGCGAAGGCCCCGTGAGGCCACTGTGAAAGGAGCTCCCCGAAAGACTCGAATCGGCACGGCTCCCCCCCTTGTTGCGACCGCTGCTACGAACGTTGTTGCTTTTGTTGTTGTTGTTATTATTATTGTCATCCTTGTGAGATGCTTCGCCTTCTGGGAACAAGTCCTCTTCGTACTCGGACGTTGTCGACTCTTCTGTCGTAAGCCCCGAATGATGGCTGTTGTTTCGTCCTTCTCCTCCTTCTTCGTCGCCTGCAGCCACTTCTTCTTCTCCTTCCTCCTCTGATTCTTCTTCCGAGTCGTCTCGAATGGCCGTTGCTACAGCAGCTTGTGCATTGGTAGGAGCCGCCGCGGCTTCCGCTCTGGCGGCAGTAGCCTCAGTTTCGCGCCGATCATTCTCGGCCGCATAGTCTTTCCAGGAAAAGCTCAACTCGGGGTCCTCGGGCTGGTTCGAGGACTCTTCTTCTTCCTGACGATTCCCACTCGACAAGGAACCAGCATCGTCATCTTTCTTCTCGCCCATGGTTGGATGATGATGGGGGTAGCTCCAAGCGGTCAATCAAGCGGTCCACTGGTCCAGTCGCAGAGTAGGATTAACTGTGACTAGAGGCAGCTACGTGGCACCTGTTGGTTGTTACTGTATACCGGTTAGGCTGCTGACAAAGTAGCCTGGTTCCGCTCAGACGGTTGCAACTCTGTGGGGCTCAATTGTTCCTTCCTTGTTGGTGGTCGTTGTTGCTGCTTTTGTTTTCTTCCATCCATCCGCGGTCCGCTTCTCGTTGATACCAGTCTTTTGCTCGGCAATAGTCATCGTAAATGACCTTTCGCAAGCATCCTTTTCAACGCGCGGGCCAGACCCAACCGTGTCTGACTGTCATATATATTTTCTAGCGAGGATCCCTAACTAAAAATAATGCCGTTCCTGAACACCGAACAACTGGCGCGGTACACATGTCAAAACCCAAATCCAACTGGTTGATGGAATTGGCAATGCTTCGCTTGTGGCGTTTGGATCCTCACAATTAATTTTTGGCTTGCAAGTCAAATACCACCTTTTCATTTTCTTCTTCTCTTGAAAATCTAATCTTTTCTACAACCCTCATGACCATGTCAGAAGAACCCAAAGTCGCCCTCATCACCGGAATTACCGGACAAGATGGATCCTATCTTGCCGAGTTTTTGTTGGAGAAGGGATACACTGTAAGTCAAAGTCATTGTGGTCTTTTTTCAGCGACTCTTTCTAATGCACTCCTCCAATGCTAACCCCATCTTCTCCAAAACTATAATAAACAAAATAAAATCAACAGGTCCATGGAATTGTCCGTCGTTCCTCTTGCTTCAACACTGGCCGTATCGACCACATCTACCGTGACCGCCACGAGACTGGAGTCAAGCTGTTCCTTCACTATGGTGATTTGTGCGATGCCACAAATCTGGTAGGAATCATCAACAAAACCGAACCTACTGAAATCTACAACTTGGGTGCCATGAGTCACGTCAAGGTTTCCTTTGACATGCCCGAGTACACGGCCGATTGTGACGGTGTCGGTGTCCTTCGTATTTTGGATGCCATTCGCACGGCCGGTCTGGAAAAGAAAATCAGATTCTACCAAGCGAGTACGAGTGAATTGTACGGAAAGGTTCAAGAGGTTCCCCAGAGTGAAACCACTCCCTTTTACCCTCGTTCTCCTTACGCGGTTGCCAAGCAGTATGCGTACTGGATTTTGGTCAACTACCGTGAGGCTTACGGCATGCACTTGACCAATGGAATTTTGTTCAACCACGAGTCTCCTCGTCGTGGACGAACCTTTGTCACTCGAAAAATTAGTGTGGCTGTCGCGCGCATCAAGGAAGGACTCGACAAGACCCTCTACCTTGGAAACTTGGATTCCAAGCGTGATTGGGGACATGCCCGCGATTACATTGAAGGAATGTGGATGATGCTTCAACAAGACGAACCCGATGACTACGTGCTGGCCACTGGAGAAACTCACACGGTCCGAGAATTTGTCGAAAAGGCATTCAAGTGTGTCGATATTGAAGTCGTCTGGAAGGGAGAGACTGGAACTGTTAATGAAATTGGTGTCGATGCCACGGATCCAAACCGAGTCTTGGTCAAGATTGATCCTCAGTATTTCCGTCCCACCGAAGTCGACCTTTTGATCGGTGACCCTAAAAAGGCCGCAGAAAAGATTGGCTGGACAGCAACAACCACCTTTGAAGGTCTGGTCAAGGAGATGGTTGCCGCTGACTGGGAGATGGTAAAGGGAAATGCTGCTGATATGGAAAAGTTGCATGATTAAACAATCATGCAACTTTTATTGTTGTTTCGGTGGTGGATTGGATTCAATTTCAATGAAACTCATTGTAATTAATTGTTTGTGTCTCAGGTACGCACTGCTCCCCGATAGCATTCAACTGCAGTTGGCTCCACCACCGAACCATATTATGTCAGGTGATGAAGGAAAGAAAGACCCCCAAGGACAATTTTATTGGATAGCCCGAATTTAAAAAAAATAGAAGTATGTGTTGTTCAAACGACAGGCGTAGTCGCCTACTTTCTCTTTCTCCCTTGCCGTCATTCCAAAACCAACCACCACCCATTGAAACCTGAAAAGAGTGCAACGCCACCCAATGCTCCTCCCCGACGACACCGTCCAACCACATTGACCGATCAGCTGAAATACGCCGTTTGTCCCATTCTCCTTGCACCCAACGAATAACTACGAGAACGAGCAACTTTTAAAAATGCAAGGCAATGAGACCAGCGTTGCCACACAGCACCTACGGCGGGCCCAAAACTTCTCTTCATCTTCATCATTCCAACAATTGCTGCACTGGTTCGTTTTTACACTGCAGCACGGTGCCTGGTTCTCTGATGTTGGGATTACGATTGGATTGGATACCCATCCAACCAACTAAAGGAAATGACGCTGAGCGTATATGGGCTTCAGTTTCGCATCCGGAAACTGAACATGACCGTGAAATTCTATGAATGAATGTTATCTTCCTGTATGAGGCAAATGGATGCCTTGAGTGTCCCCAGTTCGGTTGCTGGACTGGTTACAGCATGTGGGCTTCAGTTCAGGTTCTGCGAAATTGACATGACAGGTCGAAGCACGACGAATGAACTTTCTCCTTTTGTGGCATACAGTATGGGCTTTGGGTGTCCCAATCTCGCCAGCTTATCCACCAAAGGTGAGAGATGCAGCTCAGCATGTGGGTGGGCTTCAGCTCCATGCCTTTTAAACTGGACGGGACAGGGCTCAATGCAGGGAGGTTCTCTTCGTATGGAAATGGACTTGTGACCCGACGAAGTACAATAATGTTACCAAGACGAGGCAAATGTTGGTTCCACTATTCCCGTGGAAATTGAATGTGAGACCCTGTGCATCCCGATCATGGCCATCCGGGCTCTTGCACCGGAGTGAAGACGAAGGGGTTTCATCTGACCTCATTATTTGACGTCAAATACAATGCAGCGACTCTATTCCCAACAACAATACACAAATGCCAACATGAATGCTGAATGATTGTGCCAAAGAGGGTGGGATGCATGGGACCGCAAAAGAATCAAATCGGGACTTTGTGTGATGGCTTCACTTGGTTTTGCAGACGAAAGCAATGACTACTACTGAAAAAAAACATCACCAGAAACTAGCTTGCTGTGGCGCAGAGTTAGTTAGCATGAAGGATAGGCACAATTCGAACAATCAACCGAACAGTCTGAAAACCCTCCAATGTAAATCGTTGTGGTAGACAAAGCCATTGCAAGGGACATGTGTTCTTCTATGCTGCTATGTACAGTATCGTTTTTCTTTTTATGTCTAGAGCTGGGCGTGGCGTTCAGATGTAGGACGCGCCGTGACAAGTATTTAGTTTGAGATGTTTCAACTCTTCTGGAGCAGTGTGTCTAATTGACCAGACTCTCCCAGAGGCAATAGTCCTGGCCCGTCGTTGCAACCTCCAATATACTCCCCTCGAACAAATATGGATGGCACAGATGTACGCTTGGTTTTCTTCCCGAGTACTGCTCGAATTTCATTTCCTTCATTCCCGTCTAGCTCATCCAACTCGATGGCTTGGTAAGCAATGCCTTTTTCATCCAGATAATCCTTGGCACGTCGACAAAAGGGACACGTGGAGAAGGAAAACATCATGATGGGAGCGGTCTTGCTGTCAATTAATCCCTGCACCTTGGCTTCTACGGCTTCTTGGTCGTACTCTCCTGCCACGATGTCAGCCACAAACTGCTTGAATTGATACCCCAGGGAGTTGGAAGCAATCGTTTCGGAGAATTTGTTGGCGAGAGACGATGACTCACTCCATTCCATTGGTTCACCCATACGCCCCTGGTCATCGACCTCTGAGCTAGCATCTACCCTTGCTGTTTCTAGTTTGAAGAGTGTGGTAGCCAGGTTATCCAAGAAGGGTCGCTTCATTCCGTGGAGTTGCCAGACTGTTTTCTCATTCGGGCAAGACCGGGGGACAAATCCAAACGATGCGATCGATTGGGATGCAACAACCAAGAGAGGTAGCGGAAGAGGATATCTCATCCTTGAGCACTTCGTTTCAATCTATGGATAGTTTGGGTTTCTTGTTGACATAGAAGGCCAAGCCTCTGCTTTTCGAGGAATGGTTACAGTACGAATGTATGGCAATGGAGCAGCAGTGGATCTCGAGGAAGGGCGAAACAAAGACGCAAATCCCACATCGGTTCAGGAGGGACCATAAGCGCCAGCCTCGCCCGAGGAGGTGCGGCTAAGATTCATATATTCGTGTTAGAGATATTTTATATAGCTATTGCTCCGGATGCAACTTCGATCGAAAGACGATTGCAACCACTATTCTTCAACGGCGACCATGGCGAAATGCCGCTGCTTTTTGGAGGACATAGGCAAGATAATAGGCGCCTTAGGTCCGCTACTACTACTACCAGCTAGGCGACACTTCAGCCACATTTACGCCGCCCCGTGAGCTGCGAAAAGTCCTGGTAAACCTGTTCCGGAGAGGACGAATTTCCGTCATGTTGTCTGCTTTGATTGCGTTGCCCTCCAGTCCTCTGTCGACGACGCACATGCACAACACAAGGTTCATCATCAGACGAATCAGATAGAGATAACGTGCTGCCGGCAGTTCTGCGGCGGGCAGTTTCGCGGTTGTTGGCTTCTGGACCAGAGGGAACGGCAGGGCGAAAGGCAGGGCGCTGTTGTTGTGAAGAGCGCTGTCGTGGCTTTTCGTTGTTCTTTTTGATGGATGCCCTTTGATGATGTTGTTGTGCTTGTGGCGGTCGATCTTCCATTTGAAGACGGAACTGAGAGCCACCACCACTGAAGATAACATTGAGAGTGTGGTTGCCTCTGAGAGTCTTGAATTTGAGGTCTCCATTTGAACCGGTTTCCATTGTAGCATCGATGCCTTCAAGATTGATTGGAAGCTTGTTGGGAATGTATTTATCTCCTTGGAGGCACACAAACATATCAACATCCGACTGACGATCGTAGCAACGCTGGATTCCATGCTTGACACCACCGGCAATCTTCGCGAGGGTATCATGACTCACCGCTGTCACAACGCCAGATTGTTTGGAGAAGAACACCACCGGCAATCTTCGCGAGGGTATCATGACTCACCGCTGTCACAACGCCAGATTGTTTGGAGAAGAACGCAATTTTTACTTCATCATTGCAAAGGGATGACATGGTCGCTGATTACGGATTATGAGAGAGCTGAGAGACGTAAGTTGTGCGCCTGGTGCTGCGTTCTTTTTCTTTGTGTGTGTTATGGCGAGGCTTTCTCATTCAAATCCTCACAAAAAAAGTTCTGATCTCCGTTGGCGCGCTTGCATTTGACAAAGAGAATCTTCCTGGGGCACGTATGGCTGGCCTGAAGCTGTCTTTGCTATTGAGATCCTGCTGTCCAGTTTCGTTGTTGGAAGATTCTTTGGGGATTGTCTGGCTTGCTGTGTCACAACCTCAGCTCTCGAGGTTGTGGCATTATTTTTATTTGAACAACAACAACACAATGGCAGACCCATACATCGACCGGGCTTCGTCATTTGATCCCTACCTCACCTACGAAACGATCGTGGCGATCGAGCCGATTCATGACCAGGACAGAATGGAAGGAACAAGGCATGCAGCAATTGGATTTGAGACCTTTGACGGCAAGATTCGAGACTATCGTGGTTCTGTGTTCTTCGATCGATTCAAAGGCACTTCCAGCTACCGTTTCTTTATTCGCGGATTCCAAGTCGAAAGGAAGGAAGATGGCTCTCTGCCAGATGATGATGGTGAGGTGGGCAATCCCATCGAATCGATGGAGCTTCGTTTGACAGCTCGGTACGAATGGTGTACCAAGTTTAAAAAGATCCGAGGAACAGCATCCAGTGGCCGTATCATCCGATTGTTGTTTCTTCGTCCGGAAGAGGAACAAACTGCTGATAGCATCAGGCAGATTGATGTCATCGTTCCGAGGACAGCATCCCATGACAAAGGCAAGCTGCTTGAACTGGCTGTGGAGCAAGCTGCAGCTATTGTCGATGCTGGCATTGCTGAACGCAAATTCAAGGAAGAGGCAGAAAGACAGGCAGCTGCATTGAATAGGTCTGCTCACGGCAACAACAATAACTAGCTTTTCAGTCTGTCACCCTTGACCGTATCAACAGACATTACTTGGTATAGCCGATAACTATTATAGCACTCATTATATCTCTGTCATGGTCGCGTTTGCGAGGTTGTCCGACAACTATAGCTATCTATGGTATTGGCAGTGGCCTGTACCGATAGCTTGCTAGCTAGCTAGTAGAGTGCGCCGAAAAGAGTCGATTTGCCGTGTAGCACAGAAAACCACAACTTGGCAAGGTAACTACCTGTGACAACAAAATTGGTGTATCCTTTAACACACTTTTCGTGATCTAGATAGTTCCTGATCACCAAAGTGGTATGGTTTAACATCTTTTTTTCCCTCATTTTTCGCTTTCCGGCGATTTTGTATTCGTCGCGTCCATCGCTCAAAGCTTCCGAAAGAATGATCCACGCGCTGTATCCTCCACAATGCAAAAGCTAGCTTCTCCGGACCAAACGCTGGAGCTTGTCGTCTCTTGTAGCAGTGAGCCATGTTGCCAAAGTACCCTTGTCCATAGCCAGCTCGGCAATGACCACTAGAGCATCGCCAGCAGCACAAGAGGAAAGACGAACAAAACGAATTTTCGAAAGAAGACCAAGCAAAACCTGAGGATTGTTCTTTTGTCCCATTCAAAGCCTGACACAGGCGCCAACAACCGAGACTATGTCTTGCTTCAGCTTCTCTGTAGTTGGGGGCGTCCCAGGCACAGAAATGTTCCACGATGCCGGTGGCAACCCGTCGCAGCACTCGTCGAAGCAAGAGTTGCCTCGAATTGCGCAACCTTTTTGAACGTCCTGTCACACCTACAGAATCACCCCCAGAGTCTCCCACAGAATCTACAGACACAGACAGCAGCGATGGCAGAAATAGCAGTGATGGAAATGACGAAGATTTCTCTCCGGAATCTTTCCTGTCGACCTTGCAAGAAACAATTGGATGTCGGCCCAGAAAAGTCTTGGGGACGCCTCTCTTTGATTTCATTGTTTCTGGAAACGAATCCCTGTCACCTGGATGGCTCCGAAAGAAGCTTGTAGCCATTGATGCAGCCAAGATTGAAATGAAGGAAAAGAAAATCATGCTGTTCATTTTCATGAGTCTCTCTGGAGCAGGATGGGGCGAGGATGGGTATTCTCCCACTGACCTTTTATCCACGGCATGGGGTGTTGCAAGCCCAACAATTCGCAGGGCATGTTCCTCGGCCTTGGATCAAGATTTCCTTCATTGGATTACTTGCGCAGAGAACAGCAATACGGAAAGCTCCGAGACCGACGAAGGCAACAAAAAGCGATCTGTTCGTTCCCAACTTCAACATCCTTCCAGCGACAATCCATCCAACGCAGAGACCGAAGCTGTCTTCTCGCCTGCTCTCATAGACCGTGATCCCAAGCGTCGAGACCTCAGGAATACTCCCTTATTTCTGCCCGAAACACCAATAGATTTGGCATCACCTGCCAGCGCACTGTCTCCAGTTCAAAGTGTTTGCTCCCCGGTTAGCACCTTGGATTCTGAAGAGTTCTTGTCGCCAATGAATCGCGAACAAAATGATCGGTCTTCTCGGCGCAATGGGACACGTCTTGACTTCACTCGAGCTGAAAAGATAGACGCCACAACTCAGACGGATGATGATGATCTGTTTCTTGTGGATGATTCAGCACCTGATGAGAGCCCTCCGACTGCCTTGGATAGGCGACACCTGGCCGAGATTGATCAAGGAATCATTAGCAAAGAGTGTGAAGCAGCAATTGGACGGGCTGTTGCTTTGCTTTTCAAAAGGAAAAGAGATGCTATTAATCCTCAAAGTTGCGACAACCAAGTCGAAAACGAGCCAGATGAAAACGAGCCAGAGGAAAATGAAGAAAATGACATCATTGGTTGCAACTTGAACAAGATCCTCAGAGAATCGTTGGAGGCATCTGCCAATATTATTACACTGCGACCGTTCAAGAGTGGGGGGCCTTTGAAGATTATGCGAATCAAAGAGACGAGGCAGAGGACTGGTGACAAGAAACGGAGGAAGCTTCGTAAAAGAGGCCATCTTGTTGAGGCTCTGTTTGCCAATCTTGGAATCTCACCCGATGAAATCTTGTCGATTCTAGAAAGCCTCGCGATTCGAAGGGGCTTTCGATTGATAAAAGAGAGCGACTGCGGGCTGGACATTGCAAAATGTGCAGCATTAATGCTGTACCTGCCGGCTACAGCAAGAGGACTCGAACGGCTGCAGAAGTTCATGAGATGGGCATTGCCATCTATTGGCATGTCGTTGTTTCCTCTTCAGCTAAGAAAGAAACTTGCCAAGTATTCTATTGATATGTTCAATCTGAAGCTTGGCTTCGAGTTGGCTTCTCTCGAAATCGGCGGCAACACAAGGAATGAGCGATGCCTGCATGTTTGGATAGAGGATCCTGCAGTGGCAATTCAACGTCTAACACAGAGTGCATTGGTTGCCGGCAAATTTGAGGAATCTTTTCTGTTTTCAAACCACAAAGATGAGGTTGTAATTGTACAAGGTTCCGACCGAGGTGGCGACATCACGGCCAATCTTGTCAGACTTGCGAACCGGTCTGGTGGCAACAGCTCTCAGCACTGCCTCCCTCTTGCATTTTATGAGTTTGGAAAGGAATCATATTTCAACCTCAAGCAAACAATATTCAACCCTCACAAACCGACACGGGACTTTCTTCAATCGCTTTTGAATGGAGAATATCAAATGATCGTTGTTACAATCCACAACAATAGCTCTGGTGCTGTTGTCGACGCCCAATGCAAAATGCTCCGATTTGTGCGCCCAGGAGAGTGTCGTCGTTGTCCTTCTTTGGTTCGGTATTTTCAAGACGAGACTGAACCAGTTAACGAAATGGCCGAACAGAGAGCATTGCCTCCATCACTGTCGGTCCAGCTCATCAATGCCGAAGAAGAAGCATCGCTCGAAGAGGGGCATGATGCTACTCAACTGGCTCTACAATTGATTATATCAAAGATAGATGAGGATGTGCCCAACGAAGAAGATGACGGTATCGACGATGGAAAACTTGCCTATAAAGGATTCGCTTTGAGAAACTGCTTTGGTCGAGTGGTCTGTACTGAGCCCTTCGACGAGCATCTCGCTGCTGCTGACAACAGCATTGTGAGGATGCGATGCTTGCAGTGCCGGTGTTTCACATCAGACGATATTAAATGCAACACAACCCTCATGGGGCAAGGCTCTGCCTCTGTCATGTGCCCGTGCACAATGTGTGTTGCTCCAAAGAAAAGCTTCGCATCATTGCTCACCAAGCCTAGCAATCAACAGGCTGCCGCCCGAGATGGAGACCTTGCGAATCCAACGGTGTACGAAAGTTTCGTTGACGACGCGAAGGGGCTTGTGGAGTGGGTGAGATTGAATTCTGCTGGTAGGGCCAAGGCGCTGAAACTGAAATATCACAGCGTCGTCTATAAGCCTCTGCTCTACACTCCCCCTCAGCTGAATACGTGTTCTGGTATGCATGTGTCGAGTGGGCTCTTAACCCACTGTACAATCAAAATGCTGGACCACTTGGGTGAGTTCGACAAAGCGTCCGATTGGCTCGAGGATATGAGATCATCGATCACAGAGGCGACGCTGTACTTGCAAACATCAAGTGAGACCACAGACAAGCTTCGAAAAGATGATGCAAGGCTTGCACGAGATGTTCAGGCAGCTACAACAATGGGTGCTTTTGACATGATCCAACAACTCCAAGGAGATCGTGACAAGATTGGCGCTCTCCTCTCAGCTCAAACCAAGGCTAGAGACGCTGCCAAGTTCTTTGTCGAAAAAGGAAAGGAGTTTCTTGCAGGCGTTGCCAAAAAGAACCACACCCGAATAATTGGCCGTGCCACATACTGCTTCCGCAAGTCTTTTGAGGTCGATGGACGAGTCGGATTCCGTGTTGAAAATAGCGGTTTTGAGCTGTCGAACGGTGATGGGATCCGAGTGCTGGAGAGAAGAGAGAAGATAGTGGAACGAATGAAGAGAGTGTTTGACGACAACAATCCGCAGATGCAGCAAGGCATCAACACATTAATGGACACGTTTCTGAAGCTAACAGAGCTCCTTTATAGGATGTCCGTCATGATGAAGAGTCAAAGAAAATGGCCAGATTTGGCATGCAACGAGTTTGAATCAGCAGCACAACAATACGCACAACTCTGGCTTTCTTTCGCAGGAGGGAATGAGTCAAACCCTGCTATATTCAACAAAATGCATGTATTGGTTGCCCATATTCCGCAATTCGTCCGAACCCATGGGATGCTTGGAAGAGGTTCAGAGGAAGGATTTGAGTCATCCCACAAATGCATTGAGAAAGTGCGAGACCCACTCAAATGCATGACATCAACAGAGGACAGAGCCCACACTATCTACCGCAGGATAATGCTTCAGTCAAGGCCAGAGATCGAAAGGACGTTTGAAGGTATCACTGAGCACTTTACAAGAGCAAAGAGAGGTCCGTATACGAAAAATCCTTCGAAAATGAAAACTGCCGATCGTGCTCCGGCAGGAAGAGATGTCGACAGCCTCTCTCTGCCTGAAGGATTCATTCAATCTATTAATGGGTATGTGATCAAGGCATCCTGGAAGGAATTCTTTGAGTATGTTTGTTTTAGCAAGGTGCCATTATCTTGGTCGACGGTCTTCCGGAATGACGACAGCTTGGGTGATGGATGTCGAGTCCGAACGGAGTTTATCTGAACGATTCCAGCCCTTCTGCTTACCAAATCAACCAACCTCGATGCCGCCGCTCCTCACCCTGACTCTGTAGTACTTCTAGTGGCTTGTAACAGGCAAAACATAGTAGACAACACCTTCGATTCGATCCTATTAGACACTTTTCATGGCTGAAGAGCCTCGGAACGATGGGAGGTGAATAATAGCAATATTATTGCGGTCGCGCCAGCCAGCTATGGTCCTTGTCACGCACTGATGAACCGATGTGATCCCAAGCGATGAGTCAGACCGTGACTGAATTCGAGTCCCTCGCAAAAGATTCGTTTATCATCGACACTTCCTCAACGGCCTCATCTCCCTTCTCGTTGACATCGACCTTCATCATTCTCAAACAACAACAGATTTCATGTTCTGTGGCTTGTCGAAACTCTCTCTCATCAGGCCGCAACAACGATATCAGAGACAAGCTTATTACTCTTGCTGGAAGATAACTGCCATGCCCCGAAGGACCACGAAAGCGAAGAATAAGAGACCCGCAGAATCCAAAGAAGTTCCGGATGCCGATCCTCCTTCTCCAAGCAAAAGAAAGAAAGCACCCCAGGACAAGCCATCTCATTTCCATTGCTACCTTCTTCGGTCCTGTGATCCCAAGCATCCCTACAAGACTTACATTGGATTTACAGTCAATCCGCATAATCGAATCCGTCAGCACAATGGAATTCTAAAGGCAGGCGGAGCCAGAAGGACCAAGCGATCAGGAAGACCGTGGGAATTTGTGGCGATTGTTCATGGATTTCCCGACAAAATCGCTGCATTGCAATTTGAATGGGCCTTTCAACATCCGGGTAGATCCATTCATGTCAGAGATTCACTGGGAGATCGGGAGGCGGCTTCCCTGGGACGGAAGCGAGGGGCCAAAAGCAAGCTCACTCTACTCAAGGCCATGCTGACGGAATGCGAAAGTTATTCAGCGTATCCTCTTTCCGTCTATTTCCTGGAGGATCAATGGAAGCAGGACTATATCAGTGCCAAATACGACAATAACCATGATTGTACGGCTATCCATCCTCTCCATAGCATTGCTGCCCTAGAAGAAATGCCATTTTGGAAGAAGAAGCCGGAAAGGGCCCAGAAAAGGAAACCCAAACAGACTTCCGCCAACCACGACAATTCTATAGAAGTTTCAGAAGGTTCATCCAGCGATCCTTCTACAAGGAATAGTGCTACTTCCCACAATAGACCCTTGAAAATGACTTGCTTGTCCTGTGGGTCTAGCACCAGTCCATCCAATGCAGTGATTTGTCCCATTTGTGCCTCGTGCGTTCATGAGTTTTGTCTTGAACAACACTATGAAAACAAGCAAAACTGGAACAACCAACAAGCGCAATGGTGAGTTGAACTACCGATGAGCTATCGTCTCATTGTTGAATTCTTGATCTTTATGCTAATTCTTGCGTTTTGTTTTCTGTTGGCAGTCTGTCCTGCCAAGCCAACCTCGACTGGACCCCTGACAGCGACATGGAGGCCGCCGATGCGTTTCAAGGAGACGACGATAGCGGCGACGATGTTGATGATAGGAATGAACACCGGTGGGATTCGGATGACGAATCGGATGAAGAAATTGAACGCATCCGGCTCAAGGTTAGCCGACGCCTTTCTATCGAAGGCAGCCCAAACAAAAAGGAAGATTCGGACACAAGATTAAAAGATCCACCAGCAGTCTCCTACGATAGCTCGGATATGTCGTCAGACTTATCTGACAACAGCGAAGGCCAAGCAATAAAGCAAGCAACAATTCGCAACCAGGATGAATCAATGTTCATGTCGCCGAAGCCTCCTCCAGCACGCAGAATGCGCTTTCTCTCTCCTACCTATTCTTCAAGCAGCGAGAGTGACGACTGTGGCTTTGCGAGAAGAAGGAGCAAAAGCAAACGTTGCTCCATTCTCATTATCGACTCATCATCATCGGAAGAGGAGGAGGAGGCGGCCATTCCAGACAAACATGTACCAGCACCAGAGGAAAAATGCAAACGACAGGGACAGCCAAAGGCAGACGACGTGGTGGATCTATGCTCGCCCTAATTCGAAGTGAAACCTATCGTATACACGACAAGCTCTACTGGTATGTGGCAGCAGAGTCAAGTGTTGCGCCTGTATTGTCATTGGCGAAGGGAGCGCCTGGCTACATCTGCTTGCAGCATCAAGTCGTGTTGATTGTCGCCAGCAGCTTCGCCAGGCTTCCCTCGAAGGGAGGGGCTTGAATGTCGACGAAGAGGCAACGTTGACCATGTATTTCGGTACCAGGTACCGTACATCTCTATTCAATGTCAGGATGCTATGCGCGCTACACACTCCGCCGAAGTCGCGAGGGACGAAGGTACCAGGTATTGGCTGAAGCGGTATGTGCTTCTCGACTTCCTGGAGCCTGAATGCAGGTCAACGTGCGATATCCGCGTTTTGAGCAACCCGCTCTAGCTAGGCTACACGACCATAAACAACACTATTCGACTTTTGAAACCTGTAAGCATCAGCGATTAGTAATCCTTACAACGCGTTACTAGTATCTGTAGTACTCTACCGTACTCTAGATCACAGTCGAGTCAGTCCAGCAGGCCACATTCCGGTACCAGCGAATTGATGGCTGTTGAGAACTAAAACAATCGGGTGCATTTAGCAATCCCACAACCTGCAGCCCACACAACCGTATGACCCACATGCCCACAGGTTGACTACTGTAGTCTTTCTTCATAAAATTGATTTGCAAATCAGACGAAGGCAAACCAGCAGAATACAGAAGATCCAACCGCAAGCTTGCTAGACAGCGATAGTGGCACTACGGTACCAGTAGCTAGTACCGGTACAGGTACCACGGTACGAAAAAGAGCAATGATCATCCTCCACTAACCCAGCTCGTCAGAAGCACCAACTCAATTTTAAACTGGCCCGAGACGGAACTGATGTCTTTCTGTTTGTTAATCTTTGTTTCTTCTCGGGATCTGCGAGAGTGATTGTGATCGAAAGAAGTTTGCATTTTTTGGTTTGGGGACCATTTTTTGTGTGATCCGTGCATCGACTCGCGATCGAGAACCGCTCTGCGTCCACCTCCGTTGGAAATGACACCCGCCAAGAAAACACAGACCAACATCTGCTGCATGGTTTATTGGAGCACCTCTCAATGATGAGCTTCCAAGCTCCTTCTCCATTTAATAATTAGTCCTGTCTAAAGAGCGCTTCTGCTTATCTCTTCCCGGGGTTCAGCCGTTGAATCTGTTTGAAGAAAGACGACTTGACGAAAAGACACAAAGACCATCTCGGATCGTAATCTATCATCACTTTCGCTTGTTGCCAGGAGCTTTGGTTTGGCACAAGAGAGAGTGATTAGATATCAAAAAAAGCTTCGTCGTCCGTGCTGAGGACTTGTCACAACAACCGTTTCGGGCTAGACCAAGACGTCAACACTCTCCACTGTCTCTGAAGGAGAGACGGAGGGTTGCTCTTTGACCGAACACTCCAGCTTGCTGACAGGAAGAGAGACAGACAGTATCACTTCGACAATAAACACGTTCACCATGGGCGACTACTTCTGGCAGCATCAATTGAATGAATGGAGGCACAGTCCTTGTAAGTGAATTCAAGATATGGAGACGAATCGAATCAATGACAAGTGGAAACCCTTTGCTTACCTCTCTCTCCCTTGGTTTTGTTCCTCTTCGTCGTCACTCTGATACAGGCCTCATGAAACCTGTGACATTGGGTATGCTAATCACCATGGCCATTTTCTGGATTGTTACAATGGCCTTACAATTCCTGCTTGGCTGTGGGGTTTCTTATGGCACCCATTTTTTCACGGGGCACTGGTTGATTGAGTTTCTTATCCCTTACCATTGCACGCTGGGGCCACATTCTGATTCTACGTTGGGGGAAACCAAGGTCCCATTGGAAGACAAAGCGGCAAACTACCATTCACGACTCTAGAAACTAAGTGCCAGCGGTACTTGTACTACGCTGATACGTGTGCACCGCACACAAACCTCCATCGTGCCGCAGCTAAGTACTAGTGCTTGCGATCGCATGGGACACGGGATGTCTATGCTCGACTGTGCTTGCGACCTGACGAAAACCACTCCAGAAACCATCAATCAAAATGGTGCTCACACCCCCAACACCACAGCCGCAACGTCGCGATGTCACAATAGGCGTCACGTGGGGAGCTATGGCTGCGATGTGCTCGAACCATCGAGGTCTCCATCATGGTGACTTAGACCTGAAGACCTTTGTCTAGATGATCAAATGCAGAGAACGTATGATAGGGCTCAGAAGTCGTGGCTCTCGCTCGCAGATCTATGCCCAGTGGGAGCAGTGCATGTAGAGTCTTACAGGCACCCGCAATATATAGCACTGGACAAAAATGACACACAGCAACCTTGCTTTGCCTTTACTGGGGACACTATGTTTAGCGGAGGTGGAGGTGTGCCCTTTGAGGCCGGCTCGGATGCAGAAGTCGACCAAGGAGCTTATAAAGATAACGCCCAGGAGCCATCCGGCTGGCGTTGGAGCCATGCCGTGGAACGATGCTTTGCGGAAATCATTGTACGAGGAGCCTTGTGTGACAATGCATATGAGGACTCGAGAACAATCCAAGATCAATTCCTTATCTTTCCTGGTCATGAATACACAACCGAGTTGCTGTCACGGCAATTCGGAGTCCCGCCCTCGGGTAATCTGCTTGATGCCAACAAATGGAAGAACTTTCCACCTGCCTACTTCTTCGAAACTGTCTCGGAACTCTACGTTGCTCTACACAGGCGATCGCTGCCACAAGCAACTGGAAAAGTTTTAGCCGCCGCCCCCACGACGTTGAGAAAGGAACTAGCAGTCAACCCACACTTGCGTAGTCTGGCCCGTCGCGCAGAATTGGTGGTGCAAGCCATCAAACTTTGGGACGCGTTCTTTTGCAAGGTAAGTGAGACAATTGTGTGTCACGACCATGACTATGCATGCAACTCAACGTATCTCTTTTCCCTCCATCTCGTAGCCAAAAACGCCAAAAGGCGAAGAAGCAGCTGTTATGCGAGTGCGGAACGACAAAGCAAAACGGAAGGGCAAGAATCTGTCGTCGTCGCTTGCAAACATCCCAAAGAGAAAGACAGCCAAAACCCCAGGGACTGAGTACAGTTGGAACATGGACACCCGAGATGCATCTAGAACTGTATTCACAACCATTTATACAAGCGACTTGGACTCGGTGATTAGTGATCTTGCACGCGGCAAGCTTAATCCGGAAGAAGCCGCTGTGAGTTGGAAGGGCTAAAAGCAAAGTTGCAGGAACCTGTGATCCGGCGACGGCCGATTCCTGGTACTTTGCCTTCGGAACGTGTGGTTTTCAAGGGTCTCATTGGGTTTGCACTTTTGGTAAGTTCTTGCATTTGCCTACTAGAGCCCCTCACTGCCCTTGCCGAGCTTCGTTTCTCATCCTGTTGGGCCGTTTTGTTAGGGTTCAAGGCCAAGCGGCATGACACTGTCGGATAGCGAGGCCATGAAGTTGCCTCCTCCTGCGATTAGGGACACTAGCTGTATTCAAGTGAGTAAGAAGCGCCTGCTTGCTATGTTGAGCCACCTAGGGTTCTTGGATTCGGTTGATGGTCAATTTCTGGTAGGAATGATTCATGCTCTCTGGCGAGAAGCCAATGAATACACGAATGGAACCTCTGACGCGACAACTGTGGCGGGCAGCCATGATTCCAAGTACAATGCAGTGGGCAAAGCCGAAGAAGAAGGCCATGACACGACTACAGATGACGAGGAGGATGCATCTGATGGGAGTGATTTGATTTCGTTGGGGACATTGAAATGGATTCTCTATGGGTTTCCAGCTCGGCAGCCGTCTTGGTTCTCAAGCTTTTGTATGCCCTGTGGTTTTGGTATGACTTCCTCGGAGAATGCTTTGGCACAGCGTCAGGGCACGGATGCTCAAGCAGAGCACGCGGTTCAGGTCTCATCCATGAAACGTCGCCATGGGGAACTTGTCAGACACGATGTCATGACTTGCATGCTGTGCCGGAGTGCGACAGGTTGCCCCGAAAGTCACGAGCAGACAGAGGAAGGAGAGGACGAAGGCGATCAGGACAAGGACGAAGATTCTTTGCGTTTAGAGTTTTCGTCTCACTACATTCCTCATCTGAACCGCGCTGAAGCTCCGAGTGACTACAATGGGCCACGTGACGACGAGAGCTTTGTTACGTCGAGTAACGACTCTGCTGTGGAAGTTAGCACCATAACTTCATTGCTCGCGGGGGATATGTACGATTTTGTCGATGAGGATGGTACCGAAAGCGCCGCATCCAGATGATACTGGCTGGCTTGATGGCTACAAAAAATGCAAATAAAAAATTCATAATCTGGACACTTCGAAAGGAGAAAGCACAACCTGGTATAGTTTCATGTATGGTGCAGGTACTGGTACCATGAGCATCGTCTGATGGATGGCGCTGAGTTGCAACCAGGTACCACGTCAACTTACAAGAATGCGCGGTAGATCGCTGTGGCACCACTGGTGCCCATGGTACCACAGCCTGAGATATCCCCCCAGAAGGCAGACCGTCGGAAGCGGAGGAGCGAGGGACGCCTGTGAATCGGAGACAAGAGCAAGGTTACTAGAAACGGGATAACAACAGATTAGACTGAGATGGAAATGCTAGCAGCAACTTACCGCCACGAGATTTCCCAAAGGCATCATGATCAACTTACCCAAGGAAGCTGCAACAGTGGGAGCTATGGACCGGTACCGGTACCGGTGGGTTTTAGCTTGAAATGAGTATTAGCGGTCCGTAGCGGCAGGAATTCCAAAGAACGTTTAGCACTAACCTTAGTAGATGACTTCCACGACCGTTGTCGCGAAAGATCCAGTTTTCTTCCCTTGCTTGCCCAAGCTTCTCGTCATTTTCCTCCATCAGCCCGAACGTTGCGACAACATAGCGGTAGGAATCCACCATGACGGCGGACGCCAACGACGCCGCTGCGACCGAGTCTGTCACCAATCCTGATGCTGCAGAGCAAGGAGAGGAAGAAATGAAAGAAGAGAAAGCCAAGACGGGCGGCGAAGAAACCGAACAAGGCAACGAGACGCGACAACCTGCCAAGACCAAGTCATTTGCAGATGATTTGATCTGTCCCATCAGCCATGAGTTGCCATGGGACCCCGTCATAGCTATGGATGGTCGTGTCTACGAGCGCAAGTGTATTGAGGCTTACATTCAAAGTCATCCCCATGATCTCAAGTCACCCATCACCCGTCAAACGATGGGCCGAACGCTGTTGCCAGCCATCCAGCACCGCAACATTATTGAAACGGCAATTGAGAAGGGTGAGATGCCTGACGATCTGTCCAAAGAATGGAATGAAAATGTTCAACAAAAGAAGCTCATGGAAGAAACATTGAAGGAGGCAGAAGCCGGTGATGAAGATTCTATGTATGCTGCAGCCGTCAAATATGAAAATGGGACTAAAGGATTCAAGCAAGACCTCAAATTGGCCTTTCATTGGGTTGAGAAAGCGCATTTGGCAGGGCATGTGATGGCAACAGCAGTGATGGGTTCTTATTATCTGAATGGCTGCGGTGTGGAGGAGTGTCTTCATTTGGGCATCATGTATGCCTCCGTGGCAGCAGCCCAAGGTTCAGACTGGGCAGCATACATATTGGGACTGACATTTGCCCAAGGCATCCATGGAGTGGTCATGGATAAGTCGGTGGCCGTAGTTTGGCTAAAGAAGGCTCTTGGCGAATGTGCTCACAAGTATATGAATGATCAGAAGAAGCAGTCTCTGGAGCTGCTGAATGAGCTCAAAGCAAATGATAGCAGCTCCACATAGATTGTTGAAGATTCTCTCTGGTGAATGGATACAATAATAATAAGTAATAAAATGATGTTTTCTTTGACACCGTCCGCCCCCTACCGGTATGCAGCCATCTAGATCGAGTGTTGTCTCATACGAACCGGTATGCATGCATGCGACAACCGACCGTCACTGTTTGAACAAAGCTGACAGGTAAGCTCTAACTCTAAATCTGAAACGAGAACGAAGGGAAACGGGGTAAATGATATTGAGTGTTGTTGGATGGAGCGAGCATGGTTGTGGCCTTGCGTGAGGTTGGCCAAGCAAAGTGGGGTGGCCCGAAGGGCCATGCCCGAACGTCATACTCAGGACTCGGTGCACCTCTGTGGCAGTCACAGTCGCCAGCAGAGCCTCGCTCTCAACTTCAACGCACACCCACAACAATCCACTCGCAAATTTGATCACCCAAACTCATTGCTGAAGATAGCGATGGCGAGTCCACTAACCTCGCTAGTTACTTAAAGTATCACTTTCGGTTAATCTTCTTACCACTACTTTTCGTTTTTACAGCTAACTTATTTAAGGACGAACAAGGCCCATTCTTTTTTCCATGTCACCTTCACTGTATCGCTTAGGCATCTTGAGGGTTCTTTTTCTTGGCTGCATTCCTCGCATGATTTACTGCAGAAGGAAGTGACGCCGCTTCAAGCGACAACAGCAGGGCAACACTCTCCATCCTGTTAGCGACCTCTCCGGCAGACAACTCCATCATTCTTGGGTTCTCAATGAACTGATTGGTGATGTCTTTGCGCACTATCCTCATGATGTCATCGATCCTGGTCTTTCCACCGGTGGGGAGCTTTGGCTTCTTGGGCTCGGCTTTCTTCTTTGGTTGCTTTGGCTCGCCCATTCTGTGTGGTGTCGCCGGTCCTTTTTTCGCATTGTTTTGGGATTCCTCAATAAGCCACTTTTTCAAGGTGCCTTCGCTGATGGCATGATCGTCCTCGTAGGAAACTGTGGTGACAGAATTCGGCGATGCTTTCCGTTGCTACCACCCAAGTCGGTGAGTCTTAGTTCTGCTAGTAAGAGCATGCAACACCGGGGTACCCCAAATCACTAAACCCAAATGGTTGGCATCGAGTATCGCCGGCCGACCTGAGTCCACTGAGTCAAATGTGTTTTAGGGAACATGTGGATTCGTGTGGTCGCGCAAATCGGAACTATTTGCGCAGCCCCAACAGCCGACCCAAACCCATTTGACTAATTGGATTCAATTTACTTAGGGGACAAATCTTCCACATCATCAATGACGTCACAGTAACATCACAATAGGTGCGAGGAGGTTCTCTTTTGCGAGCAAGCATAGCCTTGCTGCGAGTATGGTCAACCTCCAACCATTTGGGTTTTGTGATTTGAGGTACTACCTCGGTGTTGCATGCTCTAACAAACGTATCTGCAAGCAGAAACATAAATGGCGACTCACCCATTTCCATGTGTCCCCCTGTGTAGGATCCCTGGTCGAGACCAGTGAGTTGCCGGTTGATTTGCTTCTCAATAGAGGGAACTGCGTCGTTCCTTTTCATTGGTGGGGCATCCTCTGGTGTCCTGGGGGGTCTCTTGGCGTTACCGGCTGGATTCTTATTCTCTTTTTCAGGTGTTCCATACAGTCGGTCGTCCTTCTTTTTGCCCTTTCCAGTTGCAACCATGGGTGACGCTGGGGGGGAGTCTCTGCGGTGTTTCTTGGGTAAGGTACCCAAAGATGCCGTCTTCATTCGGCGATGGGGGCGAGCGAGGGGCTTTTGCTGGAGACATCGGTGGGAGTTTTGCAGGGGACATCGACATGACAGTCCTGCCTCGAAGAATGTACTTTACACGGGAGTATTGGTGGGCCATTCTCTTTATGGCGACAAGCAACAATCAGCCTTTCAATGCCTCCAAGCATGTCCATTGGAGGGACACAGAACAATCCGTCGGGGGTTCAAAATTCAAATTTGAATGCTTGCCAGCCAATGAATCTGTGTCACCTCAGGCACCACCCCTTGATACCGTCACACAATTTGCCAGTAAGAGATGGCGTCGGAGGTGCCAGGACTGTACTTAGGGATTTGGAATATTCCAAAAGCAATCTACATTATCTGTTAACGAGTAAATAGCTCTGTAGTTAATCGCTAGCCGGTCCAATAGATAGTGCTTCCAACATCGCCGCTGGTGGCTTTTGGCGGTAGTTTTGATGGCTGCCGCCAGCCGAATTTTGAAAGCATCGTTGATGTCTGTTTGGTTTGGTTTAGTTACACATTTTCGAGGTAGTCGTTGCAATGACGAATCCCTTGCGAGTACTCTTCCGAAAGGGTTGGCAGAGGAGAAGACGTAAAAACAAAAACCGTCCAAAGACTGGCAATGGTGTCCTCAGCCGTGGTCAGCGGCGAAAGAGGGTACAGAGGGAAATCCATGAACTGGAGAAGGGTGGAGTTATGCCGTCCTTTGATGAGTTGCAGCCTCTACTGACTTGCAGCGACAATGCCTCCCAGTTTTTCTATGACAACGGTGTTCTCCGCCCCCCAACAAACTGTCCAAGATGCACTCATCCGATACCGTATGCACCAAACAAAAGGAACACAGTTCGTTGCCAAAGGTCTGACTGCCCCTTCATCGTCCCAACTGCATGCGACAAGTGCGGTGACCAGGTCGCTTATTACACAGAAGATACTACGGGGGAGGTTCTGTCGGCAGTTTGCCAAAACAGCGCCTGTCATTGGACATGGAAACAGACCGGCACTTCTTTTGAGTGCTCCATCAACAAAGGAAGTGTGATGGAGAACTGCAGGTTGGAGAAAAACAAAATTCTATGGCTTATCTACCTGTGGCTTCTGAAGGTTCCAGCAAGAACGGCGAGTGTTCTTTCGGCTGTATCAGAGGGAACGGTGAGTCGGTGGTATCGTCATTGGAGACGAATGGTAACAGAGATGGTCCTGCAAGCTGGAAGGGAGGAGTACATGCTTGGTGGTCCTGGCCGGATAGTTGAAATGGATGAAGGAAAGTTCGGAAAGAGAAAGGACAACCGAGGAAGATGCGTGAACGCTGATTGGGTATTTGGAATGGTCGAACGAGGTGGTGAGCGAAAGATGGCGCTGGCTGTGGTGCCCAACAGAAAGGCTGACACCCTGCTACCCCTTATTACAGCTTTTGTCCTTCCAGGAACCACAATCCACACCGACATGCATGGTGGCTACAACAAGATCGAGGAGCAGGAAGGGTACGACTACAAGCACCGGAGACTTTGTCATAAGTATGAGTTTGTTGCCCAGGATGGTACACACACCCAGACGATTGAGGGGAACTGGAGGGTGCTCAAGAAAAATGTACCTGAAAGTCAGAGAGAAGGCAGCGATCTACAGGAATACTTGTACGAGTGCATGTGGAGGCGGAAGCACACAAACAACCTTTGGGGTTCCTTCATGATTGGTCTGGCAAGTCTGCGTTACAGGCCAGCCGACATTGATAGATTGTGGGACCACAGAGAGTACTACGTGGATGATCCAGAGAATTGGGATCCGGATGACACCTCCGAATCCAGCGATGACGTTAGCCTCTCCGCCGACTCTAGTGTCAGCGAAATCAGCGCAAGCGACCCCTCTTCGGACTACATGGTGATCTAGATAGATGTTTTAATTGTTATTGTAGTGATATACTGTTTTGTCGGTCCATTATCTTTGTTACAGCAGCGGCAGGTTTCGTCATGGTGGCGGTTGTCGCTCTTCTTTTTTGTTATCTGTTGGTAGGGGCATTGGCAGCTTCTATCAATACCGTTGTTTATTGGTGGGGAGTACTACTGTGTGATTTTTGTACTCCTGGTATGTACGTGTATCCAAATTGGAGTGCGAACAAGACGGTTGTAATTCCTGCATATAGCCTCAAAGAGATATGTGACATGGTAATTCGTTTGTCAAAAAACGGTGGTCACATAGGTGGATTACGTCGGTGGTAGTCACGAACTGTGAGTGTATTTAGAGTGCTGTGGACGTTTATACTGAATTAGTACAAACCGAAGTTCAACAGACTTCGCCAAAGCGGATTCGCCTAATTACAGGTTCTAAATAATAATCCTGTTAGTATACGTTGTTTCTGTAGAGGCCGTTAATTGGCGACCTATCCGGTAGTCGTTGTACAGGATTCCGGTAGAAATCGACAAAACCAGAAAACTTTTGCATCTCACTTTCACAATTTTGACTCGACATCGAACCTATGCCCAAATTCTTCTTCAACACCACAAATATTGCGACGATGACATGCTGCTGTTTTACCCGGATAATTCCCTCACTTTCGAAAAGTTTGCAGAATGTCAGACAATGATGGAATGGTGCGTTCAGTGTATTTACGAGACGGTCAATTATGTGTTCGTCAAATTGCACTCCCCAGCAGCAGTGATTTTGGTTTGCGAAATTTGTTTGTGGTTTGTCGCCTGCGCATTTTGTCATTTTGTCGTTGAAAGCTTTCTCACGCCTGCCCTTTTTTGCCGTTAGGTGGTGGCTCCCTTTGGGGAACCTCCAGCAGGGCATAACGGTGGCAACTACCCGCAAAGTGTCATCGCCATGAGCTCCAATACCACCAGCGTTAAAATTGCTGCCGATGATACATCTGATGGTAGGGGCTCAGTGGTAGCGCCAAGCCCGAAAAAGAGTTCCAAAGGACGTCAATCCATGCCAGTGCCACAGGAGACGACGGAGCAACAAGGTGCTGGCAAGGTTGACTTTGTCGCCGAAAACGGGGAAATTTATTGGGTAGTAAAACACGTCTTGGAGCATCGAGTTGCCAAGAGGAAAAAGCAAGGAGGTGGAAAAACTTATGACTACCGAGTGGAATGGGAGGACTGGCCCAAAAAGGATCTTCAATGGTATCCGGAAGAAAACTTGAACCCAGTTGCCAAGGAGAGATATTGGGAACGACAAAAGGCTGCTCTTGAAACGAAGCAGCCGGCGGCAAAGCGAAGAAAAACATCAAATGGTAGCAAAACGCCAACAACAACTAGGAAAAGCCAGGAGCAGTCAACTACAGCAGAGGCTGGAAAATCCAAGACAGTAGGAAGCGCTTCCCCGAAGAAACCGACCAACAGAAACCTCAAAAAGAAGGTATCACCAGCAGCAGCCAGCAAGACGGATAACCAAAAGTCGTATGAGGACGACGACGACAATATATACGAGGTTGAAGAGTTCCTGGAATATCGTCGGATTGATGGTGTCGATAAATTCAGGATCAAGTGGCGTGGTTACGAAAAGTACAAAGACAAAACTTGGTATGGCATGGACAGTTTTATTGGAGACACTGTCAATGAGGCAAAGGAATTCAAAACGAAAATGCTGCGATCACAGCTACAATCTGCATCTACCCCTACAGCAGATGATAGTACAGCAACTTACCGAATCCCTGTGGAAACCTTGGAGCGTCGTCTTTTGAAATCGACACAATGTCCAGTATGTTGCAACAACTTTTCCGCCAGCATTGAGTCTAAGCATTGCCCCATTATGAGTCAGGGATAGGCCAGCGAGCTCGATTACTCTTTTGAATGTACAAGTTGCGGTTGAACTGTGTGGCATTCTGCATAACTTGATAGAGCTCTTGGAGAGAGACCTCTTGATGCACATGGCTGTTGATTTGAAGATGTAGCACAATGACTTCTTCACGATGATCACGGAGAAATCGGTCGATATTCAAGAACACTTCGATGGGATTTCGTGATCCCAGCTGGCAAACGCCATTGCAGAACTCGTAGACGCCATTGCACTTGCAAACCTCCAAGTGAAGCCCTCGATAGCCTGCTTCCAATGCACGCTCAAGGGACAGAAAATGGTTGGGTTCAAGTAGGGATCCGTCTTCCTTTGTTGCCATGGCGTTGTGTACAGTGGCTAACATGACCTCGTTGATTCGCAAATCACAGGCATTCTCTAGTCCATTACAGCAGAGTGTCGCATTGTCCGAGCACTGTCGAAAGGTGAAGACAGGTGGCACTGGCTGGAGTAATGCTTCGAATAACTCGAGTTCACAGTGGAATTGTCATTTACAGACTGTTGATTATTGTCGTGTAGATCAGTGGTTTCCACTGGAAGCAAAAAGGTCATGAGCCGATCAAAGGGCTTGATACTCGCAACAATGATCAAACCCAAGAAGAACAGCAGCACCAACGCTCCCAGCCTCCACCATGGCGACTTCCAGACACTCATCCAAGCCGTATCTTCCTGTTCATCTTGAATACCAGTAGTACTTTTGTCACCTGGTGGGGAATGTCTGACTGTCACTCTTCGTTCAGGCGGCGGAGTACTGGCCATCATCATGGTTGGATTTTGTTTTTCTGACTTGAATAATGTGAGGCGAGGACCCCCTCGATTTTCAAATGGAGGGCACTGCGCTCCCTCATTTTTGCCGTTACACACGTTTTGACGTTTTGACACTCACATTTTGCCGAAAAACCAATCTTTTCCTTCTCAGCTCGTACCGGAACCGGTACTGTAGCCAGCAATCACAATCTCGCCGACACTGCCACTTCCTGACCCACATCTCCTGCTGATTGCTCTATGCCATACCGGTAGTCTGATTCTTGACAAAGAGAATCACGAATCAAGTTGTGAAGAGGCCGACGCAACTATGCAAGTCGCCACACCAAATGCCCTGCGAAAGGAATGGGTACGTCACCATCAATATAATCTGCCAAACAATTTCTTGTCAAAAGATACTGTGTCTCAAAGAACAGCGTTACCGAGTTCGAGAGTGTTGAGTGGAAAGAAGGAAAAACAGATACATTGATTTGCCAAAGGTCAGAGAGTTTTGATCTGTTGGCCAAGGATATGCATGCCTGATGAGAAAATGGGTGCAGCGATCGCTGAGATTCGAGGCTACAAGATTGGCTTAGTTAAATCCTAATGCAGGCAACCCTCCTCGACGGATCCAACTCACCAAAATGATATTGCAGAAATCGGAATTGTACTGGACGCCTTCAAAGTTGTCAGTGGCTTGGAAGACTTGGTAGTACAGCCGTGGGTATTCCAAGAAAAGGCTCAGGAAAAGCAAGAGATCCGAGTGAGCAACCAACACGGGGTTTTCCAAGACTCCAGGACAAGAACCTTTGCCAATTGTTTCTTCATTCTTTGCAATGTCCTTTAACAGCCCTCTAGCTAGTTCAGACACTGGCAGCCGGGGGGGGGGTTGGTATCCTCAGCGGCATACCGGTACGTACCGTACACCTATCGCAATAAACTTGGACACCAACAGAGTACACTATTAGTTTAACAAATCTGGTTAGTAAACAGCCTCCTTTTCTTACACGAGAAATGATCGAAAAACGTGCACACCAGCGATAGCCCAGGAAGCGAACTTTTGCTTTGCACCTCCGTTACGGTAGCTAGCTAGCGGCGAAGCAGATCAAAAAGCTTTTTCGCACCAAGCAAAATCATGCATCATAATGCCAACAGCGGAGCTCTGCCTTGGAAAGAAATTGCGCTCGCTACACATGTGTCCAACTCTGCCATTGCAACTCTAGTAGCCAGCTAGATAGCAGGCTTGTACACTTTGTAGGCCAACAAGATGAAAGGGACATCCATCGCAGAAGAGCAACGTACAACAGATATCGAATTGCTGCGCCCTCCGTGAACATATTTGGCGGGCAAGTTGATGTTGTTGTTGACGGCTGTCTTTGCCTGGCAGTCGTCTTTATGACAGTTACAACTCTGGCTTTCTCCCACGGAACAGAGGACTGATTTCTGCAACTACGGCCATCAGGGCCTTGTTCTCGTTGGATGAGTCGAGTAGATTCGCGGAGAACGCATGTTCTGTTTGGCATCCTGGAACAGGACAAGGCAACCACTCAATGGCTTCATTCCGTTGGTCCATCATGAACAGGCACTGGAGACAAACCGAATGTCCAC